GTGGCATCCGAAAACCTCCCAATTGCCCAAATTTCCCCTTCGTCGGGCCCGGATGCATAAACTTTTTTGACATGGCCGATGCAGTCAGCGGGCACAGCTCGGAGTTTTGCGCGTTTGTCAGGAGAAAAAAAGGCATCCTCGATGCAGACAGATATGCCAAACGCCGAATGAATGGACAGAATGTTTCTACCGATCCCCGCTTCTAACGGTTCTCCTCCAAAGTCGCTCCGAAACATCTTCTAGCCTCCAACCACATGGAAAACAGCCTGATGACAAAAGCTCCGAGTTCGTCATCCCATCCCCGTTTGTTTCTCGATGAAAACTTCGGATGGGGCCGGCTTCTCCGGCACTTCGGTTCTCAGAGTCCGCCCGAGATCCACCTCTTGAACTCCCCGTCGCTGAGAAGTGTGAAAAAGGAGATGAAAACGCAAGATGCGGAAACCGGCAAATGAAGGTGGAGCTTTCCAGCTCAGAAGGGCAGCAAAACCCCCACTCATACAAAACCCCGGAGACCACAAGCGAAAAAGGGGGGGCCGCAAATCAGGAAAAAAAGGAAGAAAAAGTTTTTCGCCCTGCCGTTCCCCGGCACGCACGACGATCTTTCTCCAGGTGTTCAGCTCAGGCTTGTCAGGGTCCGACACATCAGGGTCCTGGGTCCTGACTGAACCTCGGGAGGCTTTGATCCCAGGGTCTGCCTGTCGGCCAAGGCGAAATCTGTTGAACTGTGAAATTTCGCCAGAGCAAGCTCAGCACCGGATCTTGGCCAATCACGAGCGCTGCAGCGCTGATCTGAGAAACACGAAACCAGGGGGAAATGGAAAAGGTCCCCCATGCACAAGCACAGACCACATCCACTCCGGTTTATCCCTGTGAGCCACGTGGAAACTGCGGTTGCATCAAGTCCTTCCCCTGGCTGATCGCGCATGCACGCAAACGGTTGTTCCCACAGCTTGCTGCGCGCCCCACCACAATTTTACTTTTCTTCGTCGTTTTTTTTCTTCTTGCTTCCACTTTGTACCACCACTTTCGTTCCGAACGGAGAAAGCTCCGCCCGTGTGGCTTGCGCACTCACCGCTGGCTGAAGGGAAGAGCTGAACAACTCACAGATCTCGCCGCGCCGAGATTGGACACAAACCGGCCGAAGGGGACGAGACGGAAAAAAGACTGGTCTGGAATCGCGGGAGCCAAAAGCCACGAGGCGTTTTGCTTGGGGAAGCCTTGGTTACAAGAATCGAGCAGGACGCATCCCACTCCTCGGCCGGAAGAAAACGAAGCACCTGGTGCCATTGGTGGGACGAGACAAGATACAAATACAGAATACTCTGTAGTCGTATCCAAACGCGGCGATACTCGCTGTGGACAAACGGGTTGTGTGAGACGCAGCGGAAAAGGAGTCTTCTGAGGCTCCGGCGGAACCCTTTCCCAACGGTCAGGAACGGGGGATGCAAACGGCTCTCCCTTGTCGAAACCCGGAAACGGAGAAAGGGAAGAAAGGGGGGCAACATGCCCCGTGCTTGACGCGAATCTCGTCGCGATTCCTGGTATAGCCAGGGGACTGATGAAGACAACGGTAAAAGGAGCTCGTGAACGTTAGTTATCGTTGCATTTCATGCGGCCCACCACCAACATGGGCATCATCAGCACGGCCGACGCAGGGCCTCAGCAACTAAACTGAGCACTGGGCAGCATTGAGCCCCAACACCAAACTTCATCAATGCCACGCAGCAGCAGCGGGTGAGCGGGCAGACGGACGGGTGGAGTAGAACCCTGAAGATCATCAGCGCCGGACGCAACGGGAGAGACAGGAACGGTGTCGCAATCGCAAGTGTTCGGCATTCGCCCCGCATAGATTGACGAGACGAACTGAGTGAGATGAAATGAGACGAGGACGGAGATATGGGACCAAGACTGGACGGAATGCCGAGAAAGCTCCTGTTTTGTTTGAACCCCCACCTTAGGACGGCTCGACGGGACCAACAAGCAACCTCACTCCGACTAGTTAACTAGTTACATGGTACGAATACACGACGAGACGACGTAGGAGGTGGAGACGACCATGCAAGTCCCTCACGTTCGTCCACCCGTCCCGTCCCGAACCGATGCCCCACGAGATAGGTGTAGACACCTCAGCCTCCCAGGGACAGTCGAATGGCCGTTGATAAACCATGCCCGTGGCTTGTTCCTTCGATATCTTAGCTCGTCGATAGTCAGCCGCACACTGGCGGATGCGGGGGACAAGAAAGAGAAAAGAAGAAAACAACGCATACGAATGGTAGCGATGATAGTGTAAATGCTTGGCCGAAAATGGTAATCCCGAGCCCGTCTTTCCATCTCGGCAGTTGCTCCACCGAGGCTATTTCCGTCCTTGTTTACAGACGTCCCAAGTTCCCAACTGTAACGAGTTACCCAGAGATTCCGTGTCGTCAAAAGCTGGCTCAGCCGTCGTTACGCCGGAAACGGCGGCAGACGCGGGCGGGAGTCAATGCCACTGATTAGGTTGTCCAGTGTGCCAACCATAAAAGATTCGTGCTGCGCGCCGAGCACGCAATTGGGTGACGAAACCAACCCGCATCGCTGGGAATTTCCTGATAATCAACCGCCCCTCCTCCACGCAAGCAGGGCATCTCAGCCGAGAAACCCTGGGACGCACTGGCGTGTTTCGTGAGAATTGCGATTTGGGGGTCAGTCTCCCCACAGAGAGCGGTATACGTGGGGGTACAATCATGAGGGGCCGAAGGCATGGGAAAATGTTCAGCAAGTTGGGGGCTCTCGCTGGGGTCCTGGATACAGAGTAGTGTAAATCACGAAATGAAAGGGCTCTTGGGGGTTGACGATGGGATGTTCATCTCGGCGCCGAGCCTTCCGAAAAGCACAGCCTAGTGTACAGGGCTGGCCGTCTGACTCCCCCCGAGTTACCGCCTGTGCGGTCCTCACGACTCACGAGAGTGGTTGGGGGTCTCGGAAGTAGACGGTTATCGCTGGAAGAGGGCAAGCCGAGTTGTTCGACTCCCAGGGTCGTCCCCCAGTAACTAACTGTGCCGAGCTCCGGATGTTCACGGATGTTTCTTCAATGCGATGATGATGATCACTGCATAAATCCATTGCTAACGTGGGGGCGGTTCAAAACGCATGGGATGGGGAATTGGAGATGGGTAAGAAAAATTCGGCTGATGTTTCTACTTTGGGCTTTGGACATTCACAGTTGCCCAACTGATATGCGGGGTTTTCTCTTGTCCAATATCCCCGTCCATATGAGGGAACACATACATACATACACAGTAGTAGTAGTCCTTGAGATAGGTACCGGAGTGCTCGTAGCGATATGCACTCCGTAATCGCGTCGTCTTTAACCAAAGGCCGAATGTGCCAAGCAGCTGCGCCGAGCGGGCGGCCGCGTGGCAAGCATGGGCTGATGGATGGGTTGGTGGACGGGACAGTCCATATGGCGTGTTCGTCCTCGACCCCGAATGCGTGTTCAACCCCATTTGTCGAACGCTGATGTGCATTCGGCTGGTAACCGAACGACGAGCGCGCCCCGGGAAGGGGAAAAAGGTGACGACCAGGGGATAGGGTTGCGTCGGGTTTGTGCAGGTGACGAGTCTGGTGACCTGACCTGACATTGTCCAAAGCCCAGGGTCTGCGCATTGATTGCCTTTGTCGTTGGCGTTGCAATGTCCGAAAACGATGATGGAGTTGAGCCGTTGAAGTTAGCGAGTTCCTTTTTTAGGTTTGCCCAGTCATTTAGCTCGATGACGGCCATTCGCGTTCGGGACGGTTCGGGACAGCGCGGAAAGGCAGCGGAAAAGGAGAGAAAACGGGAGTGCCTGGCAGTAGCCCGGCTCTTAGTTCGCCCGTTTTGGAAGAGGTGTGTTCATGAACCATCCTGCCCTCATCAGCCCCGCCTTCCGCTCCCCTTTCCCAACATTTGTTGATTTGTCGTGGTCCTTGAGCCTTGTCCCTTTACGTCCATGATCAGCAGTGTCTTGCATCGAAACGGGCACCCAACTTGGGGAAAGTGTCGGGAAGGGTTGATAAAACTAAGCCGTGGGTTGACTAGCGCCGGGAGCGGCCTCGTCAGAAAGGCGACGGATTTCGGCTGGGACAAGGAAAGCGTGTGTGGGAAAAGCAACGCGAGAAGCTTCGCCTAGCGTCAGCACCAAGCAAGCCCCCGAGTCTGCCGCTTTCGCGTTGGGCGAAAGTCGATTGCCGAACAGAACGAAACGGGATCATCAACGGACGCTTTGAAATCAATGACCAACAAGACCGTGGCTGCTGATGGCTTCTGACCACCCTTACACGACACGGGCAAGTGGCGCCCAGGGATGCCAATGCCAACCCCCGTGTTCCCCAGGAACAGGAGTCCCAGCCCAGGTGCCCAGGATGGTGAACCCCAGTTTCATTCCCCTTTTCGGCTCACGGCCGATTAGCGAGAGGGCGGGGTTCTGATGAATGATGAATCGAATCAAAGTTACCCCAGGTGCCCAGCCACGCCACGCCCGCCCTTTCCGCCACCAGTGTCGTTGATCGCAACATTGTCGTCCAGGCTGCAGGTCCTATCACGCCCGCTTATCTCCTCCGAAGTGTTGGCAACCGAGACAATGGAGTAGAGGTGAAACTAGCACCAAAAGAATTCCTGCGCGGTCCTTTCGATTCTCATCGGGCTCCGAGCAGCCCCGCGGTCAGCTCGTCAGGGGGCCCGTCCTGCGAGCCTTTCCTTCTTCGTCCACTTGGCGAGCTGTCAAACGTGAAATCGACATCATGACCTCAATCGTCCTGTTGATCCACGCCGTCCCGCCATAGCAGACAAGCAACGCGCGCCCCGATCAAGAAGGTTTCGGCCTATCTCCCGACCCCGCGCCGGAGCGCTGCCCGGTCCATGAGATTCATGGTCCAGTAACGTAGACAACGGCCAGGATAAACTCGAACAGCAAAGGTCTACACGTCTAGTGTACGGATACGATACGGAGTACGCAGTACGCAGTAAGAACTCAATTCCGTTTTCACGCCGGCCCACCCACATCATCCTCAGCCGCTTCATCGGGAAGTTGAGTAGACGCGATCCAGTTCTCCATCATAGCCTGGCCGCCAGGCCGTCCCGGTTGCGTTTTGGCACCGGTCTGATTATTTGCGATAGCGCCAGCTGAGACGGCTGAGCTCTCGCTTCTGCCCGCGCCCTCGCCGCGCCTCTTTACCACGAGGCACAGCACCCGCCCGTAAATGGCGAAGCCCTCATACGAGATATCCAGTGCCATCTTCTTTTTGTCATCGCGGTCCCGTTCCGCTGCTGCTGCGTCTGCTACCTCACCCTCCGCATCGACAGCATCTTTGTCTTTTCGCCGTTTCGGAGGCCTCCGGGCCGATCCAGGATCGCTGCTGCCCTCGCTCTCCCCATCCTCGTCTTGCCCCTGAAATGGTTCGTCTTCATCTGCCGAAGAGCCCGGATCGTCGTCGTCTTCCCCAGAGTCCTCAATCACCTCCACGTCGTCCCTGGAGGTGATCTCCGATTCCTGCCCCTGGTCGCGGACACGCCGCCGCTTAGGTCTCCTATTGGCTAGCCCCGGCTGTGCGACCGTTTCATCGATCATGGGGATGTCGGCGAGCTTGACGGCGTCTTGATCGTCATCGTCCTCACCGAGAATGGGCACGTCGGCATCCGCGTCTTCAGGGGCGATTTCGAGGCTAGTGTCGGCCTTGTCGATGTCGATGGGCGCCTCGCGGGAGGCGCCCACTAGCCGAGATGAGTTATTGGAAGTCAGTCGTGTCTGGAGTTTGTCACGAAATAGCTTCTTTTTGTGCAGTAACGAGTGCCGTGTGTCGGTCTCGGTCAGGAAGATCGATACCTCGAAATCATCTAAGTGGGAATTTTTCAGCTGCTCAATTCTAGTTCCAACAAGTGGTGTGTGTGTGTGAATCAGTTGGCACGCAGATGGCAATGTAGCGTCATCATGATGATAGCTCGGCTCCTCGGGCACTGTTCATCACCCACCTCCAGCAACAACATCTTTGATGCTCCGCTTCTTGCTTTTCTTCTTGCTGTACGAACGTTCCTGCTCCTCGCGCAGCTTGGGAAGCACCAATGGTCGCACGCTCTCGATGACCTTGGGCAGAATTGGATCCCGGGGATTTAGCAGCCATGACTGGGCAAGCGCGGGGTTGTCAAGGTAAATGCGACATTCCAAGACTGAGTATTTGGTGATGCGGAGATAACGCCGTATTGGTGCCATGGCGCTGGAGTGGAATCAAAGTTGGCAACGACTCAAGGGAGTGAATTGGGAGGATGAGAGTGAATGCTCTTACTTTGAGAGTAAGTTCATAAGCTCCCAGAGTTGGTGGGGCAAATATAGCCCCACAGGGAAGGTGCTAAGGAGCTGTCATGACAACCGCAAGTCAACAAAATCAAACCTGGAAAGTTGCCCAGTGTTAATATTATCAATCCGATTTTAATTTATTAGGAACAAATTAGGCACCATCATTGTTCTTTGGGGTAGTAGGCTACGGTCGTTGGGTCCTGCTCGAGATGCAAGGGTAAAAGTCAAGAGTTCTATGGATAGTTAATCTAATAGTTAAGTAAATAATGAACGGATTCAACGTCAACGAGAGCACGACAAGGGGAAAATATAGTAAAAATGTATAGTGAACAATACTGATGGCGTCCGCGGTAAGATTACTCGGAATCTAGGAGCTAAGAAGTAAGTAAAATCCATGAAAGATGGAAGCTTCAAAATATTTATTACATAGACCCCAATGTGGTAATGGCAATTATATCGCCTCCATAAACCAATTCATTCCAAACCCCTCTAATAAACGTAAGGCGACAACATTCAATATGAAGATTGAATCCTAGACAACGCAACTTCTCATCACCTAAATTAAAAGGAGTTCCGATGAGTGGTGTGTGATGTCACAAGAGTCCGGATCTCCATTTCCCGAAAGACACGAAGCCAAACGTGACGGGTTTGCTATGGCATCGCGACGGCGGTAGGACATTGCGAACGCTAGGTTGAAGTTGAACATGATGACTTTGGTATTATAGTAGCATAGTAAATATCCTCCAACCTCGTAAACTACGCCTAGTTCTATATCTGTCGTATCTCCTTCCCCACCATCTCAGGCCGTTCCACCTCCCACTCATCTCTCAACACGGCAAACATCAGATCGCACACCAACAAGCTCTGACCCAAATTCCACACCAAGGTGATGGCATAAAAGAAGTTGGCATTCCCACTGCCGGCGTAAATCCACAAGTGGTAAAACGCGGGTCCTAGACACGTGGCATAGAGTATGACGGCGGCGCTGACAAACGTGTAGCGCATCAGCGGGACGACGTGGCGGTAGAGCGGCACGAGAGCCAAAAACAAGGCGGAGTCGCTGATGCTCGGGTAAGGCTTGAAGATGGCAAAGATGCCGAGAAGCAGGGTCAGGACGACAAGCGGCTGGCGACGGATGCGCACGGTCAGGCCGCCGACGTAGCTCGACAGGTGCAGCCAAAATACGGCGAGGAAGAAGGAGCGGAAGGAGTCGAACATTTCGATAAAGAAGTACCACCACAAGCCGGCGTTGGGGGCTAGGTCGGACAGCGTTAGCTGCACGCCGTACGTCGACGGGAGGAACTCCCAGGAGCCGGTCAGGAGGTAGGACACCTGGAAGAGCACGGCCACCACGCCGGCGACGGTCGTGGCGCAGACGGCCCCGAATTGGAGGGCGGATTTCGTGGCTCGGCTAGGGCGCTGTCGGTCGTAGGCGAGGAGGACAAGTGGGGGGAGGAGGAGCAAGGGGTACATCGAAAGGTAGCTGGCAAAGGAGAGGGCGATCATGGCACCAAAGGGGGCGCCGGACACGGCCTTCGCGATGGCATGGAGGATGGCACAGGTGGTGAAGACGCTCGTGGATCGCCCGATGCAGGTGGCGATTGTAAAGGGGTTGAAGAGGAAGCTGTTCGACGAAAGTCAGCACTTCGAGATGCCACAACAAACCGGTAGGGGTGTATCACATACGCAGCTGCAATCACGAAGCCGCTCCAGCGCTTCTCTCGACGCGGCGAAGTGAACAGGGCGGACGAGCCCGCTTCACCCGAGTCCGCAATCTTCCATAGCGCGCTCGCACTCAACAGGTCGACGGCAATGTAGAGAAGGTAGGTGAAGATCGGAAGGCTCGAGAAGCTCGGGAGCAGCGAGAAAAGCGGAAGGAAAAGGGGGGCCTGGTGATAGACACCGCCATCGTAGGGAGAGACGTTGTGGTTGTAGAGAAAGAGTCCTTCCTGCACTGAAGATATCGTTAGCGCCATCCAAAAGCAAAGGAAACACGGAGGAAAGGAGGGGAAGGGGAACGTAGGGCGTACATCTCTTGAAGCTTGTGACGGGGGTCGAGATCTCGACACGGCCAGTCAGCAGGTCGGGTAGCGCTGGAAGCAGCGTGAAGATGGCAAGCCGCAAGACGGCAGCGCCTGCGTACAGGCCCGCCGTCTTCCCCGGGGTTACCTTGGCGCCATCCATCGCTCAGTGCGCCGTGCCCGGAACATGGGAGTGAGGGAAGGGACCGGAGTTCGAGATGCAAGTTGCGAGTTGGAGCTTGGAGAGTCGTGTCGTGTCCGGCGAATTGGAATCCATGGGGGTCCATTGTCGGCCGTTGGCCCCACAGTGGACGACGGTCTTGGCAGGGACGCAGGGACGCAGGCCGTTCTCCGCCTACCAAGGCGGCTTGGGCGGTAAGAAACGGCATGAAATGTTCTGGCAGAAAAAAAAAGTTCAGCAGCTCGCAATGCGAGCGCCCCGCCCATTGTGTTGATTTGATACTTTCGTACATCAAAAGAGTTCCGTGAGCATCAACAGGTTGATATCGTCACCCGTTGAACGTCCAACACCCGCCACGGCTCTCATCTCACACAACACCCATTTACCTTTGGAATAGTCAATTGAACGCCAATCAATTGATCCGTGATGGTGAAGCAAAAGAAAAAGGGCCAGGCCGGCCAGGCCCGCAACTACATCACGCGCACGCAGGCCGTCAAGAAACTGCAATTGAGCCTCCCCGACTTCCGCAAGCTCTGCATCTGGAAGGGCATCTACCCGCGCGAGCCGCGCAGTCGCAAGAAGGTGTCCAAGTCGGCTACGGCCTCGACTACCTTCTACTACACCAAGGACATCCAGTACCTGCTGCACGAGCCGCTGTTGCAAAAGTTCCGCGACCAAAAAGTCCTCGAGAAGAAGATCTCGCGCGCCCTCGGCCGTGGCGACGTAGGCGATGCCGCCCGTCTCGAGCGCAACGCTGCCCGTCCCGACCAGACCGGCAAGCCCCGCTACACCCTGAACCACGTCATCCGCGAGCGCTACCCGACCTTCATCGACGCCCTGCGTGACCTGGACGACTGCTTGTCTATGCTCTTCCTCTTCGCTAACCTGCCCTCGACCACCGCCGTGCCCGCCAAGATGATCGCTCGCTGCGAGCGCTTGTGCCTTGAGTTTGAGCACTACCTCATCACCTCGCACAGCCTGCGCAAGTCGTTCCTGTCGATCAAGGGGATATACTACCAGGCCAACATCCAGGGCGAAGATATCCTGTGGTTGGTGCCGTACAAGTTCAACCAGCGGATTGTGGGCGATGTCGACTTCCGCATCATGGGCACATTCATCGAGTTCTACATGACCCTGCTCGGCTTCGTCAACTACCGGCTGTACACCTCTCTCGGCCTCAAGTACCCGCCAAAGTTCGACCAGACCAAGGACGACCAAGGTGCCGAGCTGGCCGCCTTTTCGCTCGAGGGCGTCAACCTCGCGACTCAGGATGATACCAAGGCCATCACTAATGGCAGCGAGGCAGAGCAGCACGGCCCCGATCCCACGGTGCAGGCCGAGGTGGACAAGGTCGTGCAGCAGTTGCGGAACGAATCGGGCGAGACGGTGGAGGAGAGCTCAGCGGCGGCCGTAGACGACAACGAGAAGGACATAGGGGGTGATGACGAGGACAAGCCCAGCGACGCGATCGACAAGTTCGAGCCCGTCGCGCCCGGCGGTGACGTCCTCCCGCAGCCATCGTACGGTAGCAGCGACCCGTCGCAACTGTTTTCCAAATTCACCTTCTTCCTGTCCCGCGAGACGCCCCGGCAACCGCTCGAGTTTATCCTCCGCGCCTTCGGCTGCAAGAGGATAGGCTGGGATTCGGTCCTCGGCGAAGGGTCCTTCACGACCGACGAGTCAGACCCGTCCATCACACACCAGATCATCGACCGCCCCGTCGTGCAGGCGGCTGTTAGCGAACAGGGAGACGGCGAGGACAACCAGACGGCGCAAAAAATCGGCCCGAACCACCGGTACCCGGGCCGGTTGTACGTGCAGCCGCAGTGGGTGTGGGATAGCGTGAATGATGAGGAACTCAAGGCGCCCGAGCTGTATGCCCCCGGTGCTGCGCTACCGCCGCATCTTAGTCCCTTTGTTAAGCCTACCCAAGGGCAGTATGACCCGACCGTTCCTCTGGAGGAGCAACAGACCGAGGGCGAGGCCATTGAGGCCGCGTTGGAGGATGCCGGCGAGGAGGAAGGCGAGGACTCGGAGGTTGAGAATGACATCGACATCGCGGCTGATGAGGAGGAAGAGGAAGAGGAAGAGGAAGGTGACTTTGGTGGATTCTCCGGAGACGAAGTGGACGACGAGGACGAGGACGAAGAAGATGAGGAGGAAGACGACGAAGAAGAGGAATCCGCCGCACTGCAGCGGCAACTTGAGCTTGAGGCCGAGGCATCGGGCAAGTCGGTGCAAGCCAACGGCAGCCAGTCGAAGAACAAGAAGGTTGACGCCAAGACCAAGGCGAAGCTGGAAGCCAAGAAGGTGCTGGAGCGCAAGAAGAAGCAGGAGGCGGAAGACTTGGAACGGGCCAAGGGCATGCTGAGCAAGAAGAAGCGGAAGCTGTTTGAGCAGATGCAGTATACCAACAACAAGAAGAGCGCGGAGGACTTGAAGTTGAGGCAAAAGCGGAGGAAACTGGAGAAGGAGCGGAAGGCGTAGGGTAAGGGCGTAGGGTGGTATTTGTTTTGATTTTTAAGGCACAGAATACACATAATGATGATACCTGTCAAGTTGTTACTTTCGGTGTAATTTCACGTTGTATTTGTTGTTAGTGCACCTTCTTGCTGTTGAAAACGACGCTTGCCAAATAGTTCATCCCTCGACAAAAAATCATGCTTGAACCGAAGAGGGTTAGGGTTGGCTATGGGTGTGAGCCCGTCGCTTTCGCTCTTTCACACTTGACCTCGACTCAGTTTTCCAACTCAACTCGAAACTCGAAACTCAGCATTTTACAAATTGTCAAGAGCCGCTTAATTTACACAGGCATTCTTGAAAACGCGCGAAACATGATGTGAAATAAACGTTCAATTTCTTAGCCGAAATTTTCTTTCTCACTGTCGAATTCTCTTCGTCTCGCTGCAACCCGGCGGTTCATACAGTACTCAACACCTTCTTTCCTGTTACACCAAAATTCAGATTCCACTTGTTCAAACACCAACCCTCCAAATCGCAACACGCCCAACAAAATGGGAGGTTTATCCGGCCAATCCGACATGGATATGGACTCGAATTCTGATGCTAAGAGCAACATCCAACGAGATCTATACCAAGAAGACGACGAAGACCCGATTTCTCTCGCCAGCATTCCGCTAACACCATCCAAACGCCAACGCTCACATCCACCTTCGCATTCGCACTCGCACATCTCAATATCAAGCTCACCAGTGGACGATTTAGAAAGCCCTGGCTCAGCACCACCGTCTACCCTCAAATCAACCCCCCACTCCCCTTCATCCCCCCCTTCTGCTTCATCCACCCACCAAGACGAACAGCACCAAGACCAACCCCCAGAACAAGAAGATGAAGACCAAAACGACCACCTCCAAGACGACACCACCTCCCCCCCAACTTCCCAAGCAGACACAACCGCAACCAACGATGACGACCCCGACGCAGACCCGCACCGTCCCAACCGCTGGAACGGCCCCGCCACAACCTGGATGGCTTGGACAGCGACCGACCGACAGGCTTGGTATGCGCTGGAGGGTGTGAGACGGGGGGATTTGAGCGCGCATTTGTTTAATGCGCTGGGGTTGAGGAGGGGGTTGAGGCGGGCTAACGGGGCAAGCGAGGGAGATGAGGAGGACGGTGAGGCAGGTATTGATGTGGATGTAGATGGTGGGTGGGAACTGGGCAAAGCGTGGACGGCGTGGCCGATGCGAGCGGCCGAGGTGCCAAGGGATAGATTGATGCCGCGGGCGGTGGATGTTAATGAGCCGTTTACGTTTCGGAGGGAGGAGGAGCCGGCGTTTGTGGGGAGGAATTTGGAGGAGGAGATTTCGGCTGGGATGTTGAGGTGTGCGGGGGAGAGGTTTCGGAAGAGGGGGTTGGGGGGGAGATTGCAGGGTGCGGGTTTGGCTTCATCGAATTTGAGGACGGGAGGGGATGAAGAGGGGGGGGTGATGAAGTCGGTTGAGAACAATGATGGGGGGGCTACAACGGGGGGAGAAACGGATTTGGACGTGGGAGAAACGACCGGGTGGGACGACGAGACGGACGCGGCCCCGTCATCATCTAGGAGAAGATTGCGAAGCGGTAAACGGCGAGGTGGCACATCCGGAGCGGCCTCGCCATCTTTCACGCCTACGCTCTCGGCCGACGACGAGCGGTCGTACGCGCTTCTACGCCCAGCTGCAAGGCAAATCATGTCGCGGCTGGATGCGACGCTTATGATCCTGCATAATCAGCGTATGGCTGGACTGGGCAACCTGTCGGAGTCCTCGACTGGTGAGGAAGACGAGACGGATGGAGAGATGCCGATAAAACCCCCTCAAAAGTCATCGTCTGTACAAACGCCTACACCGCAGCCACAACCAACGAAGCGGGGACGCGGAAGACCTAGGATAGAACGGGTTCTGCTGGAAGGGGAAACAGAGCACCAGATGCGACTACGGATAGCCCGGAAAAACAGGAAGAAGAAACCGGTATTATCGATGGCCTCAGAGCCGGAATCTGGAGCCGAGACAGAGGTCAGCCAAATCAGACCTCAGGGGGCCAGCAAATCCCACCCGGCCAGCAAGACCATCAAAGCCAACAAGCGGCAACAGTCACAAACACGGTCCATCGCCAGCTCACCAGCAAGCTCCCGAGCGAGCTCACGGTCTCGAGGCTCGAGCGTCTCTTCCGAAACCAACCGGGAGAAATTTCTTACCAGATGGGGTCTACGAAACTGGAAGGATGTGTTGAGCGCCGCCGCTCTAGCAGGATTCCCACCCAAGGTCATTGCCCGCGCTACGCAGCGGTGCTCAACACTGTTCCGACAGGAGATGACGATGCATACGTTGCATCCGCGAACTACGTCTGCCGTGATACCCAGTAGCAACATGGCTGGTAGTCACATGGCTGGAGTCGAGACGGTCCGATATGTCCCGGGACAACCCATTCCGTCGTCGTCAGAGGAAGATGGTGATTCCGACAAAGAGCTGAAGTTGGCCCAGCTACGAGCGGTTAGTCGTCGCTCGAGTGTTAAGCCAACGAGCGGAATGTCATCATCCGAGTCTGATGAATCTGACCCCGACAATACACGAGCAGGTCGCCAGCATAAGTCTCAGCACCACCGCACCGGATCAGCCACCCCAACAACGCCCTTATCAAGCCTCCTATTCTGCCCTCACCCTAGCTGTCGACGCTCCATCGAGCCATTCGACAGGAAATCCAATCTCGAAAGACACCTCCAAGCCGTTCACGACAACCGCACGCCCGACCCCACGGAACCAGCATACCAAGCCGTGGAGGAGGGGGACTCGGCGGGGTACAAACGCCGCAGACGGTCTGCTACGCCAGGGCTGGCTACGCATCTCTGTCCGCATCCGAAGTGTCCGCGGGCGATTGAGGGGTTTACTAAGGGGTCGAATCTCACGCGGCATTTGCGGACGACGCATGGGGGGTATTTGCCTGGTGGGGGGGTTTTGTCAGCCGAGCCGAGGTCGGGGTCCCAGTCTAGGTCTAGGTCTAAGTCTAGGTCGAGGTCGAGGTTTGAGGATGGTGAGTGGGAAGGTCGGACGGAAGACGATGATGACGAGGGTGGTGACGAGGATGTAGAAGGGGAAGAAGAAGACGAACATGAAGAGAAAGACAGTGCAGATGAGATGGAGGGGGGGATTCACGTGGATCGGTTTCTACAGCCGATCAAGTTCCGGAAAGGATGGCGGGCGGAAGATATGCGGCAGCGGCAGAGGATGGGGAGGTCGGCGAAGAGGGCGAGGATGGCGTCGGAGGAGTTGGATTCGTTTCTGTGAGCTTGGCAGGCTGGTTCCGTGGGGACTGTACTGGTTTTGGAAGACAGACGAGCACATCAATGCGACAAGGAATGAGGACAAATGAATAAATAAATGATGCTGATATTTCGGACTCGAAAAACCAAAACAAGTCGAACGAACGACGACCGTCATAGCAGCCTTCTACGGCTGACCCCCTATTCCTTCTGCTCCTTCTCTCCAAACTGCCGGTCCACCTCATCAGCAAACTCCCCCAGCGTCTGAAACACCCCCTCAAACACAACCTTCCCCTCCCCCTTCAACTTCAGATAATCACCCCCCGTACCATACCCCTCCGGCGTATCACCGCCCCTAGCAATCCACACCGTCTTCAACCCCAGCTCCGTAGCCGGCACCACATCCGCCGTCAAGCTCCTCGCCACATGCAACAGCCCCCCTTTCGTCCCTTTCTCCCCGTCATCCGCCGCGGGCCGTTCCACCCCAAACTCCTTTTTGACCCCAGCAAAAAGGTACTCAAAGTTTGCCTTAGCCGGCTTATAACTACCAATCGCCTCGGCCGTGTACACCGCATCAAACCGGGCTCCAGCCAACGGCCCAGCCACCGCCCGCGCGATATTGGCCTCGTTCACGTTGCTGAGAATCACCAGCTTGTATCGATTGCCGAGCCGCTTCAGCGCGTCCACCGTGTCGGTGAAGGCGGGCCAGCGGCCGGGACCTGTGCCGATTTTCTGCAGGTCCTCTTCCGATACTAGCGGCCCTTTGATTCCAGATTCCTGGGCGACCTCCTGAGCGAGCAGGCGGAAGGCCTCAGTCAGGTTGGCGTCGTAGGCTAGTTTGGGCTGGGTTGCCCAGAGGTGTTCGGAGAGGGCGTTGAAGCGGAGGAGGGCGAGTTTCGGGGTGGCGTGGAAAGGGTGGGTTGGGGGGAGGTGGGTGAGGAGGGGGGCCAGGTCGGCGGTTATGCCGCGTTCCCAGTCGATTAGGGTGCCGTAGCAGTCGAAGGAGAGGGTGGTGTAGGTGGTGTAGTCGGGGTTGGTGGGTGCCATGATGACGTTTGGTGGATGATGTTGGAGGTGTGAGGTGGGTGGTGTTAGGATGATGAGTTTGTTGAAGTGAGTTTTGATGTCAAAGTGATGTTGATGATCTGAGTGAACAAACAAGTAAAGCTCTCGATGATGTCGAGAAGTGAGAAACGGAAAAACAAGAAACTCTCCAAGACGCCCTTTACTTATCCTCTAATCGAGCTCGGCTCCCCTTTCCACAAACACCAGAGACACAGACGTACAAAAACAGAAGCGACAATCGGCGGACGGCGGATATCAACCCCTCCCGATGCCCAGCCCCGGTACACCCGTCCGGTCGAATCGGCTTCTCCAAGACGTTGCTCCCGGCCCCGCTGTCGGTCCCCGCTCCCCGCTTCTCCAAACCTATCTCCGCCCTACTTACCGTCTTGCGTCGGCCCTACACTAAGGTAGTGTCCGTCTTCCCGGACAGCCACTTACCCCAATCCGTGCTCGGCGAGCTTGGCCGGGCGACTCACCGGAGCCGTCCGCAGCCCGCAGCTCGCAACTCGCCGGCTTCGGGAGGACAAGAGCTGTGATCTGTACAGCGTAAGGCTCTGCTGTACGCAATCATAGCCGTTGCACGGGTAAAATTGAAGGCTGATGGTTACAAGGTACAATCGAAGGGCGCGCCCTTGGATTCGACTCCTTCAGGTTCTAATCGACCCCTTCCGTGACAGCTGACGACTTCGTGACTTGTTGCACTTCGGTCCCGGCCGGATGGCCAGTGGACAGTGAACGACTTGCTCGGGCATCATGGCGTGTTAGTCCTTCCTCTGGGTTCGACTCGTACCGCCCGAAGTGTCCCATAGTTTCGGATTCCTCGGGTTCCTTGCCCCACTGCACGTGTCTGGCCTCGCACTGAGGAAATTGCGTTGGGTTGTGTTCAGCTGTCTGATATGAAAGTGGAAGGAGCGGGCGGCAACTGCTCTTGCCAAACACGTGCTCCTTTTTAAAGGGAAAAAAACCCCAAAAATGTTCCTCCCAACAGGAATCGAACTCGAAAAGAACCGAGATGTGGTCAGACAGGGCGCCGGTCGGTCTTTCGGCCCGGGGCAGTATCCAACTAGGTACACATATCGACCTATACACCACCGAGGAGGCGGCTCGCTGCGATGGTGTATTGGTTGCAAGCCAGAATTGCGCCGGGGAGTTATATACCCCCAAACAAATATATTACCATAAAATTTCCACCACCACTTTTTTTTTTCGAGACGAGTTTCAATTGAATTGAAATCAACCACGAATTAGATAATACTCAATCACCCGTTCATTTAATTATCCTCGTGACTTTCACGCTCCAAGCGAAACATCGTAGTTTCTCCCTGCGGCCTCGGCAGCCGAGCAGATAACCCCACCATCCCAAACAAGCAACCCCACCAAGAACGAAAAAAAAATATTCACCCCCACCTTGCTTCATCCCATAACCCCCCTCTCGAACCTGACGTCTCCAACAAATTGTCACATCAAACGGCAAGGTGGCCGAGCGGTCTAAGGCGCCACGTTAAGGCAAACCCTTAATCGTCTTCTCTCCGAGAATCCGTGGTCCGAAAGGGCGTGAGTTCGAATCTCACCCTTGTCAAGATACAACAGTCCTTTGGGGCTTTCCTTTTGTTTTGTTTTTCGTTGTTGTTTAGAGTGATGTTTTTTACTCCTTTAAATCCCACTTTTAGAGGTGGTCGATCCTGATTTGAAGGTCTTTGGTGGTCTTACATTAAGATGGATATCAGATGTAGAGTTCTCTGACATTTCCGATAACTTGTACTGTTTGTTCTCAACACCATCATCCTCATTATCCATTCGGCGGTCTTGGGAGAATCCATGACGGAACCTCAAAGAACAGAGTCGGCAAGCCCCCCAATACCATTATGCTCACACTGGCTTTCAAAAATCGAGCATGCCCTCGTTAAAGGATGATCCATCGAAACCAGTGAGCTAGCGAATACCTCACCTCAAGTCCACCTTACATAGCACAAACACCATAAGAACACACAACCCAACCCAGTCATGGTAATCATAACCTAAAATTGCTGTCTTTTTTCTGCAATCAACATCCCACACCACTCTGCTTGCTATTCTCTTCTCCTCAACTATCCTTTCACACCTCTTTTCCCAGAACCCTCCCCAAGAAACAAAAAAATAAAAACGCAAAGAAAAAACTTGAACCGTACGAAGGGGTATCGATATCGGTGCTCAGTAACCCTAACAAACCTAGAACAAAACTGCCCGCCCAGCCTAATTAGCCAGCCCCAACCTAGCCAGCCCCAACCCAACCCAGCTGACCCCAGGTAAGGTAATAAAACCACCGGAATCATGACATGACAACATTTAAAAACGCCCCAACTCCATTCATTCCATGGAAGTGTACTGCTCGCCCAAGTCATCCATCCAACCAAACACACACACACCACGTCCAACGAAGCCCAATATAGATAAGCCTAGCCTCCAACCCAGCCGCAACTAAACAAAGGAACAAACCGCGTATAGCAACAACACAAACGCCCCAGTACCGCATCTCATATCAACATTAAACCCCGCCTCACCGAGATACCCCGGAAAATCACCTCAACCTGGGACTCTTCCTCCTAGTCGAACTCCGCATCGGCGGCGGCGGCATATTTTCCGCCCCGTCCGCCATCAGCCCCGCTCGTTTCGACAGTCGTGACGATCTCGTCCGCGCATTTGTTGTCTTCGACGTCGCTTGTTTGAAGACTGGTAGGGGCATTGCTGAATCAACACCTGTGTTGGCGTTTGTTGTGGTGATGGTGGCGGTGGCAGTGGCGGTTGATGATACGGTTGGGGGGGAGAGGATGGATGGGCCGGAGGAGGCTAGGTTGATAGACCCCGTTGTTGGGGTAGCACCCGCTAAGTTGACGTCGATTTCTCTTAACCCTTCCGTTTCCGGCTGGCTGTCGGACGTCGTTGGGCGTGTTGGTGTGGGCACTGGCGTCCGGTCGAGATCTGGCAGGACAGCCGGGGTTGGCGTGCTGGTGTTGCTGCTGTTGCCGGCCGTAAATTTAACCGGAGTCGACACGGGCGAGCCACGGATAGCAGCCAGCAGAACCTCGTGGGCACTCGTCCGCGGCAAGTCGGTTGGGAACTCGTACTTGACTTTGGCCGGGGTTTCGCCGGTGGGTTCGTACTCGGTGAGCTCGGTTTGTTGGATATGTTCGCGGAGTTCGGAGAGGGGCTGGCAAACGTGTTGATCGAGCGGCCCGAGGGCGTCTTCGAGATGTTGCGCCTCGGTGTCCATCTCCTCGCCGAGGTCCTGGACGCGGCCGAAGGTCTCTTTGAAGTGGCCTGAGATGTTGGCAAAGGACTGTTCGACTGCGATGTTGAGGCTCTGGACCGACTCCCCGTGTTGGCCGTGGTGGCTCGCGTTTTGGGTCTTGGCCCGTGACACAAAGTCGTCGAGATCCTGCATCTGTGCGTCCAGATCTTGGATTTGCTCTTCCACAACCCGTACCGTCTCGGCATGGACCGACTTGGTGGTTGCCTGGATCGAGGTGCTGTGCTTGTTTGCCACCTGTGGACGCGTATTAGTACAGCCCATGCAAATATCCAAAAAAAAGATACAAAAGTGAAAACATACCGTCCAGTCGTCCTTGAGTCGCGTCTTAAGCGCATCCCTAGAGCTAGTCACCTCCTCGACCACCTTGGCGTCCTTCTCGTTCCACGAGTTCATGCCCGTGGAATACTCCGCCATGCTACCCTGGAACACCTTGTTCGAGTCCAAGATCGACTCCTGGACGAGTGCGGCCTTGTCTGCAAGGCGTGACTCTTGGAGCTCGGCCTGCGAGTTGATAAGCCTCGTGATCTGCGAGAGCAGAGCCTGCCGCTCTGTCGCCGCCTGCGCCCGTTCCTCGTCCAGCACTTCCTGGATCCTCGTGGAAGCCGACTCGTTCGACTCGACGATGGCGTGGCTCGCCTCTTCAAGCTCGTGTCTGAGCCTATCGGACTCAACCTTTTGGGCGCGGATGTGCCGCAGCAGCTCCTCAAACACCGTTTTGAAGTCCTTTCCCAGCGAGCTGTACGACGTATGCAGCTGGCTGTGGAACGTGCCGAGCTCGTTGAGCACATCCCCGGCAATCCGCTCGGCCGCCGCGGCAATGGCCTGGAGGCTCTCCCCGACGCGCTGTTTCACGTTGTCCCGAACAACCTTGATTTCTTCCAGCACCGTGTCCATCTCCTCCTTCGACCGCGCCTGCTGCTCCACCAGTTGCGTCCTCGACTCGGTAAACTGCGCCAGATTCTCATCTAGAAAGGTCTGAGTCGACGACAGTTTTTCTAATTCTTCCCGAACAAACATCTGCATGCGCTGCGAGACGCTCGAGATGTGCTCTTCCTGCCCCTGCCGAAACTCTTCGATGCGGCCCTCCACGAGTTCGGTGATATCGGCCACGTGCGCCTGCGACATGTGCCACGTGCTGCGGTTGAGGTTGTGCAGGTCTGATTTCCGCCGGCTTTTGGCCCGGAGCCCGTCAATGTCGCCGACTGTCCTCTCGAGCGTGTTGAGGAGGTCGCCGCCAAGGACGGCCAGCTGCTCTTCCGTCTCCTGATGGGCCTTGCGGATGTGTGTTTCCTCAGCTAGCGCGTTCTTGGTAGCCGCCAGCACGATTTCCGTTTGGTCCAGCACCCCCTTGGTTTCGTCAAACTGGGCTAGCGTCCCTTCGTGCTCCTTCTTGAGCCCCATCAGGTTCGATGTGACCGAGAGCAGCTCCTGCAGCTTGTTTTTGAGATTCGTTTCGAGCGTCTCAATCTTCGCCCCTTGCTCCTCCGTCAGGATACGCCGCGACTCGTTCTGCACCGTCAGCTCCTCGTACGTGTCGTTCGACAGATAGACCCCGTTCCGCTGCCGTGTCGCAATCAGCTCGGCCTTGAGGCGCTCAATCTCAATCGTCAAATCCCGCAGGAGCGTCTTCTTGTTAGTGAGCGCGTTCAGCTGCGGCTTGTTGCGGATGTTCTTGGCGCGAAAGGCGTAGTCGAGGGTCGAGATGCTCTCTTCCAAGTTGCTCTTGGCCGGCGAGATGGTCGCGATGATGCACGTCTTGGTGCGGCCACCGAGCGAGTCTTGCAGCAACCGGGTAAGTTTCGACTCTCGGTAGGGGATGTGCGGGCTGCGGTCGACGAGGGCGTTGATGACGCGCCCCAGGGTGAGCAAGCTCTTGTTGATCAGCCCTGCCTCGGCCGCGCGTTTGTTCTCCGCTCCCGATCGCTGGATGTTCTCGCTGCCGGCCAGATCAACCAGGTTCAGCTTGCCCAGCATGAGAAAATCGTCTCCGTTCTCCGTCTTTTGTTTCGCATACACTGTGATGGTGAACACCGTGTGACTACGGCTGCTCAGGTCGTTGCACTTGGTGGCGGCCACCTGCCGCTTGACGCTCCCTTCCCGAAGCCACTTGAGGCCTTCGCCAGCGTTCTGGATGTACCGTTCCTCCATCCCCTGCACCATGGTCGTCGAGTGGCCCTTTCGTGAGGTGTCGTCGTAGATTTTGAGTTTGGCGCTGTCGTCCGAGGAGAGGAGGTCCCGAAGTTCTTCGTTGTACAATTCGATAAACGAGCACCGGACTGAGTTTTCTTGCTCATCCAGCTCGAGCTTTTTGAACAGGGCTTGGAGCACACGAGGGATGATGCCGGCATTATCGGACAGCATCCCCATGGACTCCGTCAGGTCGCCCGACATGGTGTATGTTTTCCCGGTACCTGTTTGCCCGTAGGCGAATATTGTGCAGTTGTATCCGGAGAGCATCTGTCTCGTCAGTCATTATTCCATCCAGTCCCAGATTCGACACAGGAGATCTCGCATACCTCATCCAAAACCGGCTTCACCACCTCCTCAAACACCATACCCTGATCCGCCGCCTGCGAAAACACCCGATCAAAATTATACGTCTTGTCGCTAACCGAGTTCGGCCCCATCGACAACTGCACCAGCTTTCCCTTCGTAGCATCAGTGCGCACAACCACCGCACTATTCTCCTTCACCTCGCGCTCGTTCCGCCCGCGACACCTCACAACGACATTGATGTTGGTAGCCTCGCCGTCGTCGGGGTCAAAGTCGCGCTCCTTGCGCTTCCCGCCGCCAGCGGAAGAAGTCGCCACGGACATGAGAGATTCGGCTGGAGAAGCGGCGCGCGCGAGTCGCGAGGTGGCTGCGTGTCGGGCCATGCCGAGTCGGGAGGGGGGCGCGGCCGAGCCTGTTCGTGTTGTCCCGGGCCGTATGCTGGATCGTCCACCGGCGGCGGACCGCGTTGGCGGCGCCGTCGAGGTGTGTCTGCGCTCCATTGGGAGCGGGGATCGCGTTGGTTGTTGTGATGTTGGTTGGGGAAGTTGGCGGTGTGTTTAGACGGGGTTTGTTTGGTTGGTTGGGAAAAACGTAAATCGCGGTCGTTAAAAAAAAAGAGTTATAGTGGGAAGTCCAAGCATTGAAGTCTTGGGCGCGTTTCTCCCGTCTCTTGTTCCGCAAAAGGCAGGGGGATGGTGATTGCGGGCGGTGCGCATTTGTGTGGGAATGGTGGGCGCGTCAAAAATGGCAGCCACGGCTGTCTGTGGCTCGAGGGGAACATTTGCAGGGGTGTTGCAGGCGCGGTACACAAAACATGCAGAACCGGAAGAGGCCATTGCCGTGGCAACCACCGCCCCACACGCCGATTTGGGGTTGTCGCAGGGGACAGGGGTGTGGAGGTGCTAGCCCCACTTGCCCCTCCATGAGTTCCGCTTCGAGCTTCCTGTCAGCTTGCCTGCCGGATGACGTCCAAACGGCCAGCTGCCTCGGTCATGTGGTGGGCAGTCGACTCTCGGGCATTCAGTGCGTTTGTCAACTGCGACTTGACACTTTCACCATCCTTTTATTTTTGCTTTTATCGGAAAACTGTAATTGAGATAAAATAGTCATCGGCATTCTACACCGTTATCGAGTTGCGCCCTGTCTCAACGGACGGGCGCTTTCACCGCTAGCCCCGCCCGCAATAGCTATCTAGGCAGCCGGGGGGACTCTGAGGTACTTCCCTCTTTCTATCGTGGTCATCGTCCACGAGCCAGAAAGTACACCACCCCATTACTACAAATAAGGATTATCGCCATCACCAAAATGACCTCGGTTTTCTCGGCTCAGCTTCATCCCGGCCGGGCGCTAGGCTTCCTCGTGCTCGGCGCATCCCTCCACGATGTCTTGACCCGCCTCAAGGCCGAGCCCCAACGCTTCCCGAAGCTCGAACTGATGCACACGCCGACCGACCCGGTGCGAGAGCCCGTCATTCTCGGTCTGCCCGCCAACGGGATACGATTACGGTTTGATGGCCCCGAGCAGCGGCTGCGCTTGATTGAAGTAACCGACTTCACCAAGAGCCACATCTTCCTCAAGCCGGCCAACGACAAGGAGCGCGATCTCGTCCGGCCAGCTTCCCACGACGCGCCCGCTGCTGACGCCACGCCCGGCCCCACATTTCGACATATTTATCAACGGTTCCTGGGGCCGACTTATGATGGGGAATACATGGAAGCTGCAGAGGTGTATGTGCTGTCGTACCCGGGTGTGGCTTTCACATTTCCGATGCAAAAGAAGGACTACTCGCCATCGAAGGATGTAGTGTCGCTGCTCCCCTCGACTGGGATCCCAAATTCCATGGCCGTATTCAGCGGTGACTCGTGGGCACAGGCGCGCGAGAACATGTGGACGGAGATTCTCCCCAGCGTCAAGGCATTCGCGCCGCTTGCCAAGGGCAAGGACGTATGCCCAGACGAAGTCTCGCTCGTGAAGATCCACGGGGGTGGCAAGCTGCAGTTGTTTCGTAAGTGGACGAGCAGCTCATTCTGGATCGTCCTCGGCGAGACTACCCCGCAACGACTGGTCGCTGAGCTGGGCCCGCCGGATGCCATCTATCGCAAGAACGACCAGGGCATGTACATCCACAAGCTACGTGCTGCTAGTAACACTGCGGGCCGTCCCAATGGGAACGATCTCAAGCGGCAAGACGATCTCACCGACACCGACCAGTCCTCGCACCCTCCTTCGGACGAATACGAATCCAACGACGAGGCTGTCGAGGACGGTCTCGTGGCCAACGTCTCAGGCGAATGCTTCTACAACTATTTCTACCTGGGCTTCGACGTCCTCGTGTCCCAGCCGACTATTCCATCTCGAGCACCCCCGTCACAGTCACAAAACGGTAACGGTAGTTCTGAGCCTTCCGAACTCGCTTTCAAGTCCACCACTGCCAACCGTCTGGTCGCTACCAAAGTCATCCTCCACGGCAACGTACCTGGATCCTACCCATTCAACCGCCATCGGCGCTGCCGCTGGGAAATCGAATACCTCGCGACGCCCGAGTCAAGCGACGGCGATCCCGCCGCCTCAGAAACCCCCTTCTCGGAGATCGAGGAACGGCTGCGGGAAGAGTGGAAGTCAATATACCCGTCGGAGGCGGAAGCGCAGCAGAAACAGCGAGGGATGGTGCTGAACCGCGGCTGGGGGGACAGTCCCGGGAGTAGCTGTGAGCTGCTTGGTGGGTGGGAGGAGAGCGGCGGGACGAATCCGGGCGTGGGTAAGGGACGGGGGGAGGATTCGACGACGACGTTGTATGGGTTTCCGGGGTTGGTGTTTGAGGTGTTGAAGAATGGGTGGGTGAGTGCGTTGACTGTTTTTTGATCGAGTAATGGGATTAGGTTAGGATAGGTTGGTTTGGCGTTTGGTATGGGATGTACCCGGGTTAGACGAGCGTGGCGAAGGGAATCAACGTTTTGAATTCAAAGAGGGACGGGTTTGGCTTTCGAGTCCTAGCATAATTACAGAATTCCGGACCGTTCCAATACAACGTGAACGGTTGTCTAGTTTTAGTACGGTATGGCGAAATACAACGGCTGTGCAAGTTTTTAGACCCGGACGTTAGATTTACATTTCATACCTCAGTTTTTATGGCCAACTTTAACTTTCAAGTCCCCTCAGTCTCCTTCAATTTTGGAGGGGTTGATGGCTATTTCTATTTTCAGACTTTCAAGTCTCTTTATATTCGATAGCTAGGAAAGGATCCCGATCCTTCAACGACTCTGCCCGCATGTCAAGTTGCACTTGCACGTCACTGCCAGTTCCATGCCTCACCATTTGAGCGATCACATTTGAGTGCTGACCCTTCTGCCGGCTGGCGGGTAACAGTGGGCCACTGCACCTGTCATGTGTTTCGGCCCCCTGAATACCCCAGGCTGCCCGTTCTTTGTCCATCGCAGGCGCCACAGCAGCATCGCTGACCGCTCGGCGACGCTCGCGGGCGACGGGCCTAAATTTTGGTTCCCGTCTCGCAGGGTGTCCCCTCTCCGGTTGCATCGACCCTGCTTTTTCCATACATTAGCTGCCTGCGAACCAGCGGCTCTCACTCGGTGCAGTGCATTCAACCCCCACACTGAGTAGACAGCGCGTGCGGGCGAATGGGATGATTGTTTCCTGATTTCCACGAGAAACGGTCCAACAGCCGGCTGTTTCTTCCCGCTTTCTTTCACATGATCGTTTTTGTTAACGTAACCTCCCGTCGTCCCTGAGGCAGCCTATTGAACCCTCGAACCCTCGAACCCTCGAAGCACGAAACCGAATCGAAAGCACATCACAAAGCGAAGAAAGAAGAACGACTCGAGTTCGATCGCATCGAAAGTTGGAGTCGCTAAAAAGAAGAATCGTCAAAGGGACCTCGAACTCGTGACCATGCGCCGAACTTAGCTGTGAAGTCACCAACGAAAACCGAAGATTCGCTAGCCGACCTCGTCGTCTCGTCTCCGTCCGTCTGCCGGCCCTGTCTGCCGGCCCTAAGGTCCGTCGACGGGCACGATGGCGGACCATGACCAAGACCGACACCAAGACCGAGACATCAGTCCGCACCAGCGTTCTTCCTCACTCCCTATATCCCATACGTCGTCGACCCTTCAACCCCCGCGCGATGTCGGCTCACGTCGACAGCCAAGCGGGAGTCACTCCTTTCACACCGGCGACGACGCGCTCGGCCTGGGTATCGTCGGCGCCTCTGAATCCGCGACTGCGGCATCTGCGTCTGCCTCTGCGTCTGCATCTGCCTCTCCGGCTGCCGACGTACCAAACCAACGCCCCGCACCCGTACCACTCTCGCATCCGCCACCGCCGACGACTACCACCAACACGGCTCCGGCTCGTAGCAGTCATCATGTCCCGGCCGAGAACCGGTTGTCGGACGTGCACCGCGCGTACAAACACCACAACCGATCGAGTGGCGGGTTCTTGCTGTCGGATTCGTTGACTGCGGCGAACCGGATTGGGCTTGGTAGTACCCGACGACGGGAGCAGGAGATACATACACATACACACACACATACACATCCGCATACGCATACGCATACGCCGGAAAAGCGACAGCGGAGGTCGTTTGAGCCTGGGCAGGGGTACAATGACATAACGGCTGCTGGTATGGGTGCGGGTGTGGGTGGCGTTGCTGATAGTAATAGCCTCCCGTTGTTGGAGATGGAGGGGGGGATGGACGCGGTGGCTATAGCCCGACCGAGCAGCCAGTTTACTACTCCTGAAGCGGGATCAGGGACGACAACAATGACGTACCGCAACTCGTTCGGGGGCGACACCGCAGTAGGGTCCTCCTCACCAGCAGCCAGCGTGGCCCAGCTCGATATGGAATCCGCGCAGATCGTCAACATGGCGCTCAACCTCAGCGAGTCCCGACGTCTGGCCTCGCGACGGAACGTCTCGCAGCCTACCCCGCCACGACTAGCACCGCTGCCGGATGCGGCGCACGGCGGCGGCGGCGGTGGTCCGCAGGGGGGTAGTCTGCGGTATCATCTGCAGCAGCAGCGGAAAATGTCGCGGACGGTGTCGCCCAAGCCGGACCGGGCGTTCTCGGTGGCGTCGCCGAGGGTTGTTAGCGGGAGGTTGTTTACGCCGCTGCAGCCTGCGTTTGAGACTGGCATGGGGTATCGGTATCTTTCGTCGGCGTCGACGCTGGCGAGGGTGCAGAAGGCGAAGGAGTATTTGGATCTGATGGCTCAGTATCGGAGGGTGTTGGAACTTGTGCCGCCGCTTGAGCCGGAGCACTTGGGAAGATCCCGGGCTGCTGCTGGTGGTGCTGGTGCTTCTACTAGTAATGCTACTATTGCTACTACTACTGCTACGACGCCACCTCTCACACCCAACAACAACTCGGAGTCCGCATCGAGGACGGCTGCCAACGAGTCAGAGCCGAGAGTTATCGGCCGTCCATATAACCCGCTACAATACATTCGCAACCGCAAGGTGCGGGCGCGTGAGAGACGGGCGATCGACGGTGAAGCGCAGGGGTTTACGGATGTGCTCAAGGTGTCGGAGTGGGTGGATGATGTAGCCAAGTGGGTGGCCACGGGGCAAGGGCGGCGGCCTTCTGCTTTTGATGAAGGGGATCACCACCACAACCGCAGCGGGATTCCTGCGTTTCCGGGTGCGCAGCTAGAGGGGATGCAGGTTTCGCCCCCGCCGTCTACATCCGCATCGACGTCGAGAGCGGGGTCGGCAACCAAGCCGAAGAGGCCGCGGGTGGACTGGGTCATTAACCCGGCGGACATGCTGGCCGATGTGTACTGGTTGGAGCTGGATGATAATAAGAAACTGGTGGAGGACCGGCATTGGAGGCGTGTCTTTCCCCAGAGCCAGGGGCTGGATGTCCCACGGCCGTCGTCCAAGGATGAAACGGCTCGTTTTGCCACGCCTGGCTCGACGCGGGCCTCGCTTGAGGCGTACACACTCAGTGATCACAAGACGATATCAACGATAGGGACAACAACGACGACAGCGACAGGCGATCAAGTACCGCCATCGTTATCATCATCGAACAAACACGATCACGAACACGTCCTCATCGCAGCGAGAGACCGCGCGCAACAAAAGCTCCGCGCTCTCAAGGGCTCACACCATCGCCACACTAGCTCGTTCGCCAACCGCGACCTGCTCCGGCTCCACCGGGGGTCGGTCTCCGAATCGTCCGACACCGATAGTGACCGGCGTCGGCGAGGAGGGAAAGGCGGGCCTGGGACGACGACCACGGTCAGGTCGGTCCTGGAGAAGCAGATGGAGGAGATGATTGCGCGCGAACAACGCGAGGCGGCGGAATCCCATCCTTTGTTTGATCGTGAGACGGGGCGGATGCGGTTTACTTCGCCCATGACGCCGGATCGAGATGGGGGTAAAGACGGAAACGGAGGAGACGCGGACAGAGATCCGCGGGGATCGGACGGGACGTTGGATTGGCCTCCTCAGAGGGGCTCGCGTACGGAACTCAGCGAAGCCGATAATAAAGCGTCGTCGTCCGTCAGACGGGACATGCTGACGACGTCCCCGCCATCGCGAAGGGGCCGCGCGAGTCTTGAGGTGCCTCGTGACAGGCACGCCTCAGCGGATGATGATGATACCTCACAGGCGGGTTCGCCAAATTTGCGGCCGACGCCGGATGTGATACCCTTGGTGCCTGCGCTCGGCGGCATGGACTTCTCCCCCATATCCAGCCGAGCGGGCTCACCGCATCGGAATCCGCTAACGAGGGTCAAGGGGATGTTCCGCGAGCGGAGCAAGGATCGTAGCGCGGAAACACTTAGTCCTCAGCAATATCAACACCATAACGGGGATGACAACAATGGTGGCGGCGCAGCACCAATCACTACTATGGCCGATGGCCTGGTGGCTACCCCTGAAACCGCCGGAAGCGGTATCTCCTCGCCACACCGCCGGCGACCCTCGCGCAGCCCGATCAGCGGTAGTGACCGTCCGCCGTTCGGCCACCGCTCCCACAAAAGCCTGAGCAGTGTGAAACAGCAGCAGCAGCAGCAGCAGCAGCAGCAGCAGCAGCGCAGTGACGACGGTAACGGCCTCAGTAGTAGTTTCCGCTCCTTCCTCCGGGGCGGTCCGCGCATCGATACTGTTCTGCGTAGTAGTGTGTCCAAGATGAGTGATATGCTATGGCGGAAGGATGGGGAGGATACTTCGGGGACGTCGTCGTCGTCGTCGGATTCGGAGGCTGGGTTGCGTCCTGGGCTGGGAGCTGGGCTGGGAGCTGGGCGTCGCACGGAAGCGAGAGGACGGTCGCGGGGGCCGAGGCATAAGAGGAGTTATTCGGTGTTGGAGGGAAGGAAGGCTTTGTTGGATGCTCCGCAGTTTGTGAGGGATCAGTTTAGGAGGTCGGCTGGGGTTGATGCTGGTGCTGGTTCTGGTTCTGGTTCTGGTGCTGGTGGTACTGGTGGTACTGGTGCTAGCCGTAGTCGTGGTGCTTCGCAGGGTTCGTTCCAGCACCCGCCAGCCCGGCCGATCAGTCGACGGTCGTCTCGGTTTGACTTGCTCAAGCCACCGAGGATTGATGTGCAGAATGCCTCGCCGAGTATCTCGCCCCCGCCTGCTGAGGTGCGTCAGCAGCAGCATAACAAGGACCGGAAAAAGCAGAGGGCCGATGGTGGTGGGTCGGATACTGAGCCCGAGTCTCAGTCTCAGGTTGCCGGGAAGACGACAGCCAACAGCAACCTCACCCGCGCAGCCACGGCCCGGCTGGACGCGGCGCTTGCGATTCCGCATCGACCTGTCGGACCGTCCGGTCGGCCGTGGTCCATCGCTGACCGCGGGAGTGTCTTTCCTTCGACGGGTGTTACTGCGGTCTCGAAGCGTGAGATTGCCCGGCTGCGGGCTCTGCTGCTTAGCTCGGGAATCCACGCTATGGAGATGGACCGGAGAGCAAAGACGCGGAAACTTAACCCTACGCCTGGTGTTGTTGTGCCCTCGTGGGCTACCAACACAAACAAGAATCCGACGGCCGACACCACAACAAACACCAACACAACAACAGACACCCTCACCTGGCCCCTCATAGCCTCACACGCCCCCGACCCAACAACCCACACCCGCCTCCTAACCACCCCCCTCGCCCAAACCGAACTCTACCCCATCGCCGCTCGCACCCTCGCAGCCTCCGTGCAAACCTCCACCGCCTCCGCCCACACCCACGCCACCCACTTCGCCAGCACCACCGCGCCCTCTCTCTACGCCCGCGCCGACACCCTCCGCTCGCGCGTCGCGTTTGATTTGACCAGTCTCGCGCAGGAGACTATTGATGCTGCGGATGGAGCGAACCATGATTTGGTTGCGGGGCAGAGGTTGAAGGTGAAGAGTGTGGTGGATGCGATGGAGACGATGTTACGACGAAGGAGGAGGAGGTTTAGGTGGGTGAGGAGGGCTGGGTGGTTGGTGGTGGAGTGGGTTTTGGTCGGGTGTATGTGGTATGTGTGGTTTATGGTGGTTTTGGCGAGGGTGGTGATGGGAGTTGGGAGGGGGGTTGTTGGGGGTGTGAGGTGGTTGTTGTGGTTGTAGATGTATTTTCTTTGTATTTGTATACGTACTATTGGGGGCTGTGATAAAGGGGCTGTTTGGGGGTTATTCGGATGGAGTGGAAAGCCGGTGGTTTAATTTTTGGTTTGGATCGTTTTACCTGGAAACAGACAGGGGCTTGTTTGATAATTAGCGCGATACCCAGGCGTGTACTTTGTTGTAATACTCGATTTATCTTAGAGCAGGCGGTGTTGGTAGAAATAATGAGTTTCTCTCAAAGGTACACGGGAAATTAAGCCGAGTTAACTTACACATGGTACACATGGGAATGCGAGTTTTCCCTCGGCTAGAGATAACTGGTTAAACTACAGGAGTGTCTCGGGGGGTGAAAAGTGATGATAAGAGTGGTGATCATGCGGGCTGAGGAAGATGGTTCCCTTATGAGAACCTGAGAACCAAGCCGCGGTACATACCTCTCAGCCCCTTTGCGTTCCCCTACCCCCCGTCGCCGGGGCATATGATACACTTTCATCATCTGAGCGGCCACCCCCTGTCCCCTAGCGAGATCTAGTCTGGTACGTTCACCCTACTATGTATTCGACTGGTTATGTACATACATACAGTACCGTACGCTCACTTCAACCGCTAGGACAGCACCAGACAAATGTGCGTCCATCTCTTTAAGGGTTGCAACAAGGAAGCCAACAGACTCAATCCCGGGGATTTAGTTATTTGAGCCCCGACGAACTATCCCGGATGTATTCAAGAACACATCTTGATACATGATAAGCTGAAGGATGACAACTATCATAAGTTTCTTGTTAAGTACGTGTTGTATAAATCACACCCTGAAAAGAACCCCAAAGGAACTCCTTCTTTCAGGAAGACGTAGGAACTTTGATTTTGACTTGTGGCTATGCGTCATGTACGATTCAAAGATAATGAACTTGATGAAATATTTTTGTTGCTTTTATCTTGATTAATGGACGCTTGGCAGAGTACATGGGCCACGAATTTCTTGGACACAAACTTAGTAAACTGAAAAGACCGAATGCCTGGAATTATTATTAGCCTTGCAGAAATATACCCATTGGTTACCTCACAGTTAAATGTCCGACGGAGGCCTAACTTGGATGTGAAATGTTGTCCCTGATAATGCATCTCTCCATGGTAACGTTATCTAGCACCCAAACATCAAGAACAAATGAACCACACACACTTAGACAATGCAAACCAACCACCCGATCTATTAAACATTGCCCTGGACCGGACTAGTCTACATCTAACTACCGTTCCAACCCCCCTTCCCCCTCTTTCCCAGACCAAACCAACCGACCTCCCTTCCATCTCCTACCAGCCTAACCCCGACCAGCATCCCCAAGGTTATCTATCAAGACACCATCGGGAACGAAAACCTGTACCAAAAATGACAAAGGAAAGCTGAAAGAAAGGCGAGACAACACGGCGCAGAAGTACCACTACATAATTAACCCCCATAATTCTTACAACAACACAAAAGAACCACAAAAAAAGGACAAGACACAGTTTAGTATCCCATTCCCAAACTCCCATGTATTGAATCCTATCGCCCACTGTTTGCCGACAGCCGACCAACCTACTCAATCCTCTTCTTGCCCTCCTCGGCATTGATATACCGCGCCGTGCTGAGACCACGCTCGTGACGCGCCACAAGCGGGCCGAGAATCTTGTCCTTGCGGACGCGGCTGATGGTTTGGTGGTAGCCTTCGGTGGCCCAGGGGCGGGGGTTGAGTTTTGGCCAGTTGACCTGGTGATGTGTTAGTTTTCATTGCTTCCCCATTCCCTTCTTCTGCTAGAAAGACTGAGAGACTTACGTAGAGCATGCCATGCGAAAAGATAAAATACACACTCCAGACCGAGACCGCCGCCCAAAACAGCGTGACAATCCGCAACGGCCAGACCGCAGCATCCGGCAGCCGCGGGGTATACGTCGCCAGCAAGACGAAAAAGAAGCCAAACGCCGCAATGTACGGGATGCTCTGGATCCACACAGGCCGACGGTCGGCAAACACAAAGCTGGCCGCGCCGATCCCGCCTCCACCGGCGGGAACCTGGTACGCGCCCAGGAACAAATCATACGCGTCCTGGCGCGGCCCGTCGAGGAAGTTGTTACGCCAGTACCGCGTGACAGCGACGTTTCCGTCCTGCAGCGCGCCGCCTTTCGTGCGCTTGCCCAGACGCGTGAGGTCTGTCTTCATTGCCCCCGTGCCGGAGTACGCCGTGGACACGACGTCGGCGTTGTCGGCCCACATGTTGCGGAAGAGGAACTCAAAGGCGGCGTCCTCGTCGGCGAAGCGGGCGCCGCGCGCGAGGAGACCGAGGTCGGTGAACATGCGGTCGAGTGTCCATCGGGCAAGCATGCTTTGTACGACGTTGGTGCGGTCGAGGCAGTCCATGCAGTTGGAGCGGACCACGCTGGTTTGGAGGGAGCGGACCTCGAGCTGCCCGCCGATGCGGTTGCCGCCGGGCATCTCGGCCGCGCGGAAGTACTGCTGCGCGAGGAGCGCTTCGTGCATGCGGTCGATGAGTAGTTGTGCGCGGTGCATCTGGAGGCCCTTGGTTTCCGCGTGGAAGTCAAAGTAGACGTAGTGCAGGCGGTCGAAAATGGAACGCCCCCCCGGTGGCTTACCACCGCCCGTCTCGATGGTGTGGAACTTCTCGTCGGTGAGCTGGTCCCCCTGGACGCGCTCTTGCGGGTTGGTCACCAACTGGTCCACCACCTGCTCGTACGCCTGCTTGACGGGCAGCTCGCGGCCCTTTTGGTTGACCAGGTTCACTAGATAGTTGTCGCCGTAGATTCGGATCTGCTCCTCAAAGTGCGCGCGCGCGGCTGGTAGCGCGGCTTCGATGGTGCGGATCTGGACCTTGGGCGTGTACTTGAGCGTGTTGACCTCCGCCCAGTACGCCGGTACGCTGCCACGAGTCTGTACATACGACAGGATCTGCAGGTCCTTGCCTTCGGCCCCAGCGTTGTTGCGCTGCGTGCCGGGCGCGGACGAGCTCCCCGCGAAGCCACCCAGCCCCGACGCGCTGTCGTTGAGGATCAAGATCTGCTCCGTCTCGTTGTAGTTGGCCGCGTGGCCCTCGTCGTCGAGTCCGCGGGTAAAATACCGGGTGCCCGCGCGGTGGCGGGAGCGGCGGGTGATGAGAGCCAGGGTCAGCGGCGTGCCCTTGAAGGTGGTCGGGTGGATTTCGAGCATGCCAAAGATCACGGGCAGGATGTAGGGGTCGATGGCGGGTTGGGGCGCCGGGTGGCCGCGAGCGCCCTGGTTGCGGAAGTCGATCAAGTCGGACTGGAGATATCGGTTCCAGAAGAACCGGTCGTCGGCGCGCTTCCAGAGCGGGCTCTCGCCGTCATGTTGGGCCTGGCGCTGCACAGAATTCGTGAGGTCGACGGCGTAGGAAAAGTACATCGGCCCGGACTTGATAAAGTTGCGTAGCAGAGAGAGGAAGCTGTCCTCATCGGGGTCGTGTACTTGGCGCTCGCGCAGGGGGAGGAGCTCGGTTGCGACGACTTTGTAGACGGTGTGCCCGCGGAGGCGGCCTACGGGCTTGGCCTTGGTGATCACGACGATATACTGGTCTGTGGTGGGGTTAGCAAGTGTATTTTATTCCAGACTCTTCCTATGCCTCGCTGGATGTTCCCCCGTCTCGTTCACATGCGCCTACACACCCCTGTGCTATATCCCCCCCTTTCTAACCTCCTAATCGCCAGGCTCACATACCCAAACGCAACCGGATCATGCCCAGGATACCAGCAATGCTCGTCACGCGGGACACGCGCTTGCCGGCGAGGAGCGAGGCATCGCTCAGGCGGATATCGCCCGTTGGCCGGTCGATAGTGAGTGCCGGCGCATTGGGGCTTGAGGGAGACGAGAATATGTACGAGTCGGACGCGGTCTGGACGTTGATGTCGCGGAAGGGGAGCGCCGCCATGGTTGCGCTGTTCGGCCTGTCGGCTGGAGACGAGACGAGAGAAAGCGAGGGCGAGAAAGTTAGGAAGAATAGGTAGAAAAGAAAGGAGGAAATAGAGAGAGAGAAAGAAGTGAAGAAGTGAAGGACAGCTGAGGGTGGCTCGAAGATTCTAATTCCGGTTCCGATTTCGATTTCGATTTCGATTTCGATTTCGATTACTTATTTAATTGCATCCCATCTCATATTCCACCTACTCCCCAGATTGTGCAGAAGTCTGCGTGGTACGGAGAAAAGTAATGCGAGATCGCCGTCGGGATTGCACAATTGGTGTTGGACTTGCTCAAAGTGGCCGTTTCAACTTTTGGAGCTCCACGCTGTCGCTCCAGCGGCTTGGATGCTTCGTTTTGGGACGCTGACAGCCTGGAATGCGACCAACACGGGGCAATGCTTGGTTGTTGCCAGATGGAGCTCCAGGTTCTGGGCCATGGGGCCCTGGCATTTATGGCTTGGCAAAGCACGGGTTGCAGCTGCCCTCGGCAGGGTCGCCAAGCATCCCAGTTAGGTGAATCCCACTCTGGCGCAAGCTTCCATCCAGCTGCTGCGCTGTTGACTCCAGCTGGCAGTCCTCCGCTGCACTGCCCGGCCCACAGGGGTACGTAACCAAGCCCGGCGCTGTGTCACGTGCTACACGGGCGCACAGGCCAGCATCCTCTCTTTCCATGGCGGCGAGCGGCGCTCTCTCGGCACTGTGGCAGGCCTGACGTGTTGCACCCGCCCGCTGACCAGTGACAGCTGCAGCGAGTGGCCAGGCCCAGGCTGCTGCGCTGCTGCTCTCAACCACACTCGCCAACCAGCTTCCGGTTCAACAATTCCAACCAGAAGCCCCGTGGTTCCCTCGACACCCACTCACTGCACACCACCAGTCACCTAGTAACTTGCGTATCGACCGACGAACCTCGTCAACCTCCCGACCGGCCGATCTTACCGACCGCGTATCCTCAACGGCCAAACATTCCACCCCGGGTTTTATCCCGCCGCCCACGTTTTTCTCCGTTAACTCTGCTTTGTTTCCGCCCCCCCCGCGGCAGCCTGCCTCTCTGCTTTGAGAAGCCGAGCTTTGGTTTCTCGAAGCCTGCGGTCGCAGCCGATAACCGACAAACACCCACCACCTACCACCACCTCACATACCGCCTCGCAACGAGTCAGCGGCCCCCGAATCCCACTCTTCCCGACGCTTCCTCTGCTCTCGCTCGCCCGAGTGCAAAATAATAATAATAGTCCGCCAACCCATCACACCACATATTTTCCACTATGGCGACCCGAGGACCCCCTGGCTCCCGTGGCCTTAGCAACCGTTTCGCCCAGTTCAAGCTGGTGCTGCTAGGTAAATGAGGTCGCTTTTAGAACCCGCCGCCCTTCACCACCCGGAGGGTGCGCAGGATGGAGGTTTGGATGCTTACGTTTTGGTGGTGTAGGTGAATCGGCCGTGGGAAAGAGCTCGATTGTACTGCGTTTCGTCAAGGTGAGCGCCGATGGACCCGACGTTTTCTGATTTTATCATCAGAGTAGTTGGTAAAGAAGATGGATTCTAACAGGGGAACAGGATCAATTCGACTCATACCGGGAATCGACTATCGGCGCGGCTTTCCTTACACAGACCATCTCGCTCGACGAAAACACAACAGTCAAGTTTGAGATTTGGGACACAGCGGGCCAGGAGCGGTACAAGTCGCTCGCGCCCATGTACTACCGGAATGCCAACTGCGCCGTTGTTGTCTACGACATTACGCAAGCGGTGCGTTTCCTTCCCTCACCCACTCCACTCGTTTACCTCTTGTCTTGTAGTATTTGTACCAGTTCCCTTCTAACCCTTAGCGTGTGTAGACATCACTGGACAAGGCCAAATCCTGGGTCAAGGAGCTGCAGCGGCAAGCCAACGAGAACATCATCATCGCGCTGGCAGGCAACAAGTTGGATTTGGTGACGGAGCAGCCAGACAAGCGGGCGATCGAGACGGCTGATGCCGAGGCCTACGCCAAAGAGGCCGGCCTGCTCTTCTTCGAAACCTCGGCCAAGACGGCCGAGAACGTCCAGGAACTGTTTACCGCCATCGCTAAGAAGCTGCCGCTCGACCAGGTCGGACCCCGGCATGCCCGGCCGGGCCAGCGGCCCGGCGTCAGCCTCGCGCCCGAGGGCCAGAACACACAAGCTAGTGGGCCGTGTGCCTGCTAAGTTTGGAGTGGTGGAGTTTGTTGCTGTGTTGTGGTGAACGCCCGGTGGTAACGATTCCGAGCGAGTGTTTTCATGGAGGCTTGGTGAATGAGATGTTTTTCCTCGGATTGGCGGACGGGAAGGGAAGGGAAAGGCGGCATGGACTTTTAAGGTTGGAACTCCCTCCTTTCAAGGGCCGCGATTCAGACCATAGAGAAACGGGCCGTCTCAACGTTTTGACAGATCTCGAAGGTGAGGGCTTTATTATGTCGGGGATTGGGCTTTGTGTTTATTCGTGTTTTCCGGTATTACACTCAGAGGGCTGGATGCGGTTTGACTGATGATGAACGATGGACGGATGGATGGATGGATGGACCAAGGGACGGATCGGCGGGCGGGCGTATGCCGCGGATGTCGCGGATACTGCTTTAATACCTTATTTTCACGGGGCTTTCGTGTTTATTTGTCGTTTCTCCTTGCATCCCTCTTTTTGTCTTGTTCATGTGATACATTGGTCTCGTGGGAAACTTGCCCTGAGACGACCGGCGAGCGGTGTTTTCGGTTTGCATGTACAGTAAGCAGAGAGAAGCAACAGCTTGCAACGATGCCGTAATTTGAGACCTGAGTCTACATTTTGTGAGAACCATTGTGGGGTCAGTCATATTCGAATTCCTTTGGTGGAATATAGAGGAGAATAGATCGTATGTGATTCACTTCTGCGGGATGTTCTTCGTTCATCTCTGTATCAAATACGTCCTCCGTACGATACCATGCGTTTCGCCGGAAATGCCTGGCCGGCCAGCAGTGGCCCCGCCAAGACCCAATGCCAAGCCTCCCGTCGCGCGAGCACCCGAGTTAGCTCTCCCGGAACTTTGCCGAGCTCTTTTTTTGCCTTGCTCGTACCTTGCTTAGCGTCAGGCCAAAGGACTTCTATTCCCTCTCTTTCCCACTTCCACCCGAAACACAACCCACCACACGACCACCCAACCCTCAATTCCGCGGCCACACCACGCGCTGTCGGCCACCAGCACCCCCCATCCCCCTCATGTTGCGGACATCGTTGCGATCCGTGAGGGCGCTGGGCACCCGGCCCGCGGCCCAATGGCAGGTTTCTACTTCTGCCGCTGCTGTTGCTGCGCGGCGGGCGGCCATGTCCGCGTCGGCGCAGGTACGTATAAAATCCAAACTTTTTTCTCTCAAGGGTGTTTCTATTGGGGATATCCGGAATGTGGCCGTGAGCGGGCCGGTTCCATGCGTGTCAATGGCTGTGGTTTATGTATCTGCATTGAGGGAAACTTTATCTAACCGAGACCCCCCCTCGATTTTGTACACAGAGATACTATGCAAGCAAACCCGATGAGGTCAAGATCCCGGCCTCCGAAACCCTGACGGCCCCTTCGACGCCCCCGCCCGCTCCCTCGTCCGCTAGAGACGCCGCCTCGTCGGCCATCCCCCCCTCGCAGGCCCCCCTCACCCCGCCTACTCCCGGCCCCAGTTCGACGACAACCATTACCCCGCCGCCCGCGCCTCCGTTGCCCAAGAAAAAGAAGAAGGGCTTCTTCCGCCGGCTGCGCAACTTTTTCCTGACGCTGACGTTGCTGGGCGCGCTGGGTTTCGGTGGTGGTGTGTGGTACTCGCGCATCAATGACAACTTCCACGACTTTTTCACCGAGTACGTCCCGTACGGCGAGCAGGCCGTGCTGTATCTCGAAGAGAACGAGTTCAAGAAGCGGTTCCCCAATGTCGCGAGCAAGGTTTCGGGCGTCCGCCGCGGGCCTGATAGTACCGAGCAGGTTAAGATCCCGGCTCAAAGCGGTGCTTCGTGGCGGGTGGCTGATGGCAGGGAGCCTGCGGGTCGCCAATCGAGTGCTCTTGCGAAGGGCGGCAGCGGCAGTGGAAGCAGCAAGAAGGCCGAGCCGGTTGTGGTAGCCAAGGCTAAGGAGGAGACGGCCAAGCTGCCGTTAGCAGAGGCCACGACGGCGGACCCTCACCAGCTGGTGCCGGCGCCCAAGGCGAACAAGAAGGAGGTTGAGAAGAAGCCGGAGGTTCCGTCCCGGTCTAGGTCCAATTCCAAGTCGAAGCCCGAGCCGGCCCCTGAGCCGGTGGTCTCTGCGGTTGTCCCTGCGGCTGGTGCTGGTGCTGTGGCTGCCGCTGGGGGAGCGAAGCCGTACAAAGCCCCCGAGGTGGACGAGCCATCAAGGTGGCCGCCGGCTTCGCCCATTGACCCGTTGGCTGTGCCCCACGCATCCGACACGGTGGTGCAGGACTTAGTGCGTATGCTCAACGACATCATCACGGTGATCAACCACGACGGAGCCAATGATCGGTACGGCGCTACGATCGGCAAGGCCAAGAACGAAGTCAACAAGGTCGGCGACAAGATCCGCGCACTCAAGGCGGCGGCCGTGGAGGACGCCGCCAAGCAGGTGGCCCAGCGCGTCGACACCTTCGACAAGGCGGCCAACGAGCTGGTGTCGCGCCTGGAGGCGACGCTTGTCGCGCAGGAGCAGCAGTTCCAGGCCGAATTCCAAGCCGAGATGGAGCGGCTGCGCAAGGCGTACGACAACAAGGTCGACCTCATCCAGCAGCGCGAGCGCGATCTAGCTGAGGAGAAGCTGCGCAACCAGCTGATCGAGCAGTCCGTGCAACTGCAGCGCCAGTTCGCCCGCGACATCAAGCAGCACGTCGAGGCGGAGCGCGGCGGGCGTCTGGGCAAGCTAGGCGAACTCACGGCCGCGGTTGCCAACCTCGAGTCCCTGACCGCTGGCTGGAACGAAGTGGTCGACGCCAACCTGCGCACGCAGCAACTCCACGTGGCCGTCGAAGCCGTCCGCGCCAGCCTCGAAGACGCCCACCACCCACGGCCCTTCATCAAGGAGCTCGTTGCGCTGAAGGAGATCGCCGCGCAGGACCCCGTGGTCGACGCGGCCATCGCCTCGATCCACCCGTCGGCCTACCAGCGCGGCATCCCGACCTCGGCCGAGCTCATCGACCGTTTCCGCCGCGTCGCCGGCGAGGTGCGCAAGGCGTCGCTGCTGCCCGACGACGCGGGCGTGGCTAGTCACGCGTCGTCGTATGTGCTCAGCAAGGTGCTGTTCAAGAAACAGGGCTTGGCGGACGGGGACGATGTTGAGAGTATTCTCACGCGCACGCAGACGTTTTTGGAGGAGGGGGACCTGGACAATGCGGCGAGGGAGATGAATGGGCTTAAGGGGTGGTCGAAGACGTTGAGTCGGGATTGGTTGGGGGAGGTGAGGAAGGTGTTGGAGGTGCGGCAGGCTTTGGAGGTATGTTTTTTACTCTGATATGCATACTACCGCGTATGAGAGGGACGAACGCTAACCAATAACTCTTTTTACAGGTGATCCAAACTGAGGCGAGACTACAGAGCTTGAGGCTGGAGTAGAGAGTAGAAAGCTAGGGGGCGTACTATTATGGAAAGGAGATATGAGCGAAGAATAGAGGAAGTCAAAAGGAAGGCCGGTGGATGGATGGTTATGGGCGGCTCGACGCGATTTCTTTTGTGCATCATGTACATTTGCCCTGTTAGATTCTGTTTGGTAAAGAAGGGGCCTGGGCTGGGCTGGGCTAGGCTGGCTGGTGGACATGGGGATGGGGCGGTGTATTGAGTAGGAATAGACGCTATTTCATGGCGGTTTTATGGATGTGATTCAAGACGTATAATGCTTGTCCTTTGTAAGAGGTTATGGGCAGGTTCCCGAGCGGTTCCCAAGACTTTGGGTCTTGTATTGTATCGAATACAGGACAACAGTATTTCGGAGCACCGCCGAAGTTATGGCCTGTTCTTACGGCGACGTCGGAGGGTTCAGCCAACTCGAGTATTTCTTATGTCCATACAGTACAGTAACGACATATTCGCTCATGCATGAGCAGTCCCTTCCAAACAATGAGAATTCGGCCATTTTCGAAGTTTACCCCACAGCTCCGAATTTAGGTCCGGAGAATTGATTAAAAGGTTATTTTACTATGTACACCCTCCGACATCCGAAACCGATGTGTCCGATATACCCCGCGTAACCTTTTCGTCCATTCCATATAAATTATTTACAAACTCGCTCATTGCATCTCGGGATGCTCACACGCTGCCGCATTGCTCGGTTTACTCACATCACCATCAACACCACGAGCTCGTTTCACTTGTTTCACTCTTCTCGAAATCCCACCTTCGCCCAGCATTTCACCACAATCACCACCCATTACACCCCGCGCAACATGACGCCCCCATCAAACCCGTCTACCACACAGAAAGACACAGACGACGATTACGCACTCGCCCTCGACCGTCTCGCCCAGCTCCAATCCAACCGTGCCATCACGGCCCTTTTTGAACCAAAACCCATCACTTCCACTGACAGCAAAAATGCCGGCAAACCAGCCGACCTCAACGCCCTCGCGATCCCGGAAATGCTCGCCTGGTTGCAGAGGGCGGGCTACACGCCTGCTTCGCTAGCTGCGGATTCGCCGTTGCGCGTGGTGCATGTGGCTGGGACCAAGGGGAAGGGGAGTGTGAGTGCGTTGGTGGCGGGGGTGTTGGGGGAGTATCCTCCTGCCAAGGTGTCGTCTTCTTCTTCTGGGTTCGGGTCTGAAGTTGAGTCTGGGGATCATGGGCCAACAAAAGAGAGAGAGGAAAAGGAAGAACTACCAGCCCAAGTCGGCCTCTACACCTCCCCACACGTCCTCTCTCACCGGGAACGCATCGCCCTCAACAACACCCCCATCTCCCGCGCCAAATTCGCCCGCTACGTCAACCAAGTCTGGGACCGCCTCACCGATGCCGCGCGCCAGGAAGCCGCCCTCGCCTCCTCTTCCTCAAACCCATCATCAGTATCAGTCCCCATCTCCGAATCCGACCTCGCCGGCCCAGCCACAAAACCCTTCTACTTCCGCTTCCTAACCCTCGTCGCGCTGCACGCCTTCGTCCGCGAGGGTCTCACTCACGCCGTGGTAGAATGTGGTATTGGCGGGGAATACGACTCAACCAACATCTTCGCCCCTGAATCCGTGACGGCCACAGTAGTCACCCAGCTGGGGCTAGACCACGTCGGCATGCTGGGGGACACGGTAGCCAAGATTGCGTGGCATAAGAGCGGGGTGTTCAAGCCCGGCGTGAAAGCGTTTACGCGGCGGTTGTCGGGGAAGGACCAGCAGGGTGTGATGGAGGTCTTGCGTCAGCGAGCGCGGGAAAGGGGGGCGGAGCTTGTGGAGGTGGGGGATGAGGAGGTGGAGAAATGGGGAGGGGTGGCGGGTGCGAGGTTGGAGGGCCCGTTTCAGAAGTATAATATGGCGTTGGCGGTGTATGCGGCGAGGGAGCATTTGGTGAGGTGTGGGGTTGAGTTTGAGGGGCGGTTTGGGACGGATAGGTGGGAGTTGGGGGATATTCCGGAGGGGTTTGTGCGTGGGCTGAGGAAGGCGTCGTTGAGGGGGCGGTGTGAGGTTGTGAGGGAGGAGGTTGGAGATGGGAACGGGGCGGTTGTCATTAACTGGCATGTTGATGGGGCGCACACGGATGATAGTTTGGCGGGGGTTGGAAAATGGTTTGCGGAGAGGACAAGGAGAGTTGATGGGGATGGTGATGGTGAAGGCAAAACGGAGAGAGTGTTGGTGTTCAACCAGCAGGAGAGGGATCCGGGTCCGTTGTTGAAGGCGCTGCTTTCAGGGGCTGGTCAGGGCTTGTTTAACCACGCCATCTTCACACGGAACGAAGAGACCCCCCCAACAGGCAATGGCCAGGTCGACTTGGCCAAGCAGACCACGGCTCAACAGACCATGAACGAGGTCGATACCACCGCACACACCTCGGTCCAAGACTCCGTCCAAGGCACGGTCGAGCAAGTCCGGCGCATCGCGGCTGAGGCTGAGAAGAACGCAAAGACGTGTGATGTTCTAGTCACCGGCAGCTTCCATCTAGTGGGCGCCGTGCTGAGAACCATTGACCATGTTGAATGCTAGTACTACCTAGCCTGCCAATTTACAGATATGCCTGGGCGTGTGTACCAAAACTCCGTTGCCCCCTCATGCCCCCTTATGCCCCTTTCCTAGACCGCACCTGATGCTACGAAACCAACCTATCATGTCCTATCCGTTGAATACGAGGGTGAATATCCCGGATGCGTCGATGAAGACCGCCCGGTTGCCCATCTGTCTATGTGCCCGCCTCTGCGAGTATGGCATTCCCATCCTGCTCACAGGGCGTCCGCCTTCTCGAGAATCCCCAACGCCCCGCCGACCAGATGCAAACTCCCCGTGATGAGCGCCTGGACCGGCGGTTCGCCTTCCTTGGCACATTCGCGGGCCGTGTTAATGGCCTCCTCAATAGTCGGAATGAGCAGGATGTTGGCAGACGGATCGAGCTGCTTCCATCTTTCAGCAAAGATGCGCTGCTGCGTCATCTCTTCGATGTCCTTGGGATCGTGTTGGCGGTTGACGAAGTCTGGGAGCGGGTGTTAGTAGACCGCGTGAAGAATTGAGAACCAAAAAAAAAAAAAAAAGAAGAAAGAAAAAAGAAAAGAAGAACGGGTTGGTTACCTCTCTTGTACCCCGTCTTCGCATACGTGACGTTTGTACAGAAAATAACATGTTCAAACCCCTTGCCCGTCTTTTCCACCGTCTCACACAGCCCATCCAGAAAGTCAACGGCCTCGGTGCGGCCCTGCTGGTTAAAAATGAGCACCTTACGTCCGCCCTCTTTCCTACCCGTACACTCCTCCACAAACCACCTTGCCGCCATCTTCAGACTATCCACCGTATGCGCCCCATCCACATGCCAGATCACATTCCCCTCATCCTTCACTTCACACCGCCCGCGCCAGACCACCTGCTCCAGCCCCTCCACAAACTCCCGCGGTAGCGCTTTGGGATCCCGCACAAACCCCGGGTCTAGCTTCTTCAGCGCCGTTTCGGCCAGCGCAATCCCCAACGTGGCATTCTTTTTCTGAAACACCGCGTCCGGCCGGATCTTCACCCCCTCCAGGCGCGGGTCAATATCCAACACTTGCAAGTCCACCCCCTTTTCCGCAGCCCGCTCCTTCAGCACCTCCCCGGCCGAGGGAACCTGCTCAATCGTAAACGCCGGACTACCAGGCTTCATAATCCCCGCCTTATGCCACGCAATCTTATCCACCGTGTTCCCCAGCGCAAACACATGGTCAATCCCGAGGGTACTAATCCCGCTCGCCACAGGCCGCTCGACAACATTCGTCGCGTCATACTCCCCGCCGATACCCGTCTCATACACCGCCACGTCGACGCCCTCGGACAGGAAGACGTGGTAGCTCATGAGGGTCAGGTAGCGCGAGTAGATGGGCTTGCTTCCCGGCTCGGCCTGGTCGCCGGCGATGTCCGGGTTCTGCTCGAGTCGGTCCCAGACTTGGAAGAAGTATTTGGCGAAGAGGGCTTCGGAAATGGGGGTGGAGTCGATGCGGATGCGTTCGCGGACGGCGATTAGGTGGGGGGAGGTGAAGAGGCCGATTTTGCGGCGCGGAGTTATCGTTCCGTTCGTGGTAGTAGTACCACTGTAGCGCGATAGAATGGAATCGACAAAGGCACATGTGCTGCCCTTGCCTTTGGTGCCGGCTACGTGGACGATGTTGAGGCGGTCGAGGTCGCGCGGGGTGTAGCCGAGGCGGGCGAGGTAGGCTCGCATTTCGCGGACGGAGGCGGCATCGGGGCGGACGCCGGCGCGGCGCCGGGCTTCGATCACGGCGAAGGGGGTTTGGAGAGAGTTGAGGGCGTCGATGGCGTCCTGTAGACGGGCTGGGTTAGTATCAGCATTTTTCTTTGTTTTGATACGAGATTATTTTTTTCAATTTTCGGCCTTTTTTCCCACTCTCGTTCCGGTGTTTCTCTCTCGCTGCTCGTGTTTCTGCCCTGCACAATAATCGATCGTTAGGAGCGGTTACCCACATTGTATGTCCGCGTAGTTGTTGCCATATTTCGAGAAGATGGCCCCGGGCCCCAGATCGCGCGGCTCAGTGACCGTGGCACGATTGCAGTCCACCGCGCATAACGCATTGGGGGTGGGGGTGCGACGAGATCGCTTGGGCGCTTCAATGTCTCACAATTCCCGCCTTCGTCTAACGTCAATTGTCATTGATTGAGAATTTGTCACTGCAGCTCTCGCTAAAGCAGGCCAGATATTACTGCTGCATAATGGAAAAATGATATGCATCTAGACAGTCTTTCCTTTTCCCCTCGAACTTTTCGACAACACGGCGGAATTCTTCGGATTGCGTCGGCCAATTCTCGCCGACACCGGCAGGTCCCTCCTTCAGGTCCTTCCTTCCAACCCGCCGACGTCACTGCCCGGTGAGCTTGGCTCGTTGCCCCGCGGCATATGGCCCGTGCACTAGCTATGGAGCCAGGGGAGCTCGACCTTTTTCTTCGCGAAGTTCAAAACCCACATCTCGTGAAATTTCTCTCCGCCCAAACAAGCCCACGACTGCAACGCTTTTTCATCGTTCCTCCACTGTGCCAATTTTCATCCAACGGCAAGGTGGCCGAGCGGTCTAAGGCGCCAGGTTCAGGCCCACCTGAATTGGCTCGTTGAGCATTCCTGGTCTCAGTAATGGGGCGTGAGTTCGAATCTCACCCTTGTCATTTTTCGTCTCAAGCTACGAATATACAGCTAGAGGTTGGGAGGTGAACTTTTGCTTTTCTCGCCTGTGGGTGTGGTAAGAAATTGCCTAGTTGCCTTTGACCTTTTAGCTTCACGCCCGTTTGTGGTAATCCCTTATACTGCGGAAGACACTGAGGATGTCGAAAAATGTCTCAGCCGGACATAAGATCTCGATAGTTATCTCACAAACTGCTCCCGTAGATTCTAGCACACAAGATTCAACAAATCATCCATCCGCGTGCTTGCGAGCTCGGTCTCAACTGCCGCGACCGGCACCGGTCTGGGCTTGCCCGCACGCCTGCAATACCACCTCCCCACGAGCTGTCGGAAGACGCGCCAGTCGATAAATAGCATTACGATGCAGCCGTTCACGGAAGAAATAGAACTGCCCGGCAGCGGCTGCACCTCGCGCAGCGTCCCGCCCGATGGCTGCCGGGAGCGGTCCGCTTTTTGAAGCGACAGTTGTAGGCGCAGCGGGGTTCATTTACACAATCGAGTTGCTGAGTCTTGTAGCATCACCGACACTACTCCGTAGTAACACTGACCGTTTTTCTTTCACTTCTGCAACTCGCTCACCTGGGCTGTAGGAAAAGCCCAATGAGGAGGTCGAAGAAGCGAAAGGGGAAAAATGTCACCGGCATATCTAGCGGAAAAACTAAACCCTACAAGATCCTTCACTCATCGCCCGCCTCCCCCTTTTTACCGACATGAGGAAATTCCCTTCCAGATCGTGGATGTAAAAGTCTGATACTCACCTGACAGGTCTGGCCTGCTTGGGCTGCGACAGTCTCGTTCGTGATAGCCACCGGGCGGGTCTTGACAGACATGCGCTCAACTGCTGATTGGTGCGGGTAAAATCGAGGGATAAAAGCATCCGCGAAACGTTCGTGGGGTTCTTCGAGTCTGAGCACAGAGCCCGCAGCTAACGTTAGTTAGCAGCTGGAGCAACACTGATGCAATGGTCTGTTGTCTCATCAATGGATGTCACTGTGCCCGCAATGCCGCATGCAGAGTTACCTTCCTTGCGGCAAAGGCTTTCCCACGAACCTGGCCGTAGGGCGGATAGGCGCGGATCCTGGACGAGCCTAGTTCGGGCTGGCCGTGCCTCACCACCAAAAACCAACAGATTTCATGGCGTAATCGGCCGCAACCTAAGCTTTGGAGACGGGGGCTACCAACAGGGGGGAAGAGGGGGAAAAAGGAAGCTGGATGGAGGAGTGGCGTCTGATATGGTGGGGGGATAATGCAAAGCACCAGTTTTACCAATTCTCCCCGATCGAAACTCTGGACTGGGCCTACCGATGCCTACTGGGGCCAAGCTTTCGCTCATCGGTGGCTCCCCGCACACCCCCCATCCCATCCCATGGAGGTCCTAACCTAGCTTCCATTGTCAGTCAGTCGGTCGGTCGGTCGGTCGGAGACAGAACGCGGTGCCACAAGGAAGGAGGGGCAAAACCACTTGTGCCTGAACAGCTCTGGGCAAAAAAAAGAGGAGCAGAGTTGGAGTCCATTCTGGTTTTGGCATCTCCGATATCTGGACATCCCTCCCTACTTAAGGCTGTCCGTGTCACTCATCTCTTGTCTTGGAGCTTTTCTCTTTCCTCGACGAGCTTTCCATCTCAAGTCGACATCCCAGCTTAGCCAACCTGCTCGACCGTTGTTCTTTGCTCTCATTGTTTGAACTACACTTGTCTTGGAGGCGAAACACCCCATAAACACCGTCACAATGGCTTCTGTAAGTCAATTCTATGTCTCCCATGTCTCTCGATTTCATTTCCCATAGGAAGCTATCAACAACATCGATAACATCGATAACAACTACGACAACAAACAATTATGGTTCAAACTTGAACTAACAAACACTCCCAGAACCTCTCCTTCATCCTCAATAAGCCCAACGATGTCACCTTCGAGGAGCGCCCCGTGCCCAAGCTGCAGCACCCGCACGACGTGCTCGTCGCCATCAACTACACCGGCATCTGCGGCTCCGACGTGCACTACTGGCAGCACGGCGCCATCGGCCACTTCGTTGTCAAGGACCCCATGGTTCTAGGCCACGAATCCGCCGGCACCGTCGTCGAAGTCGGCGCCCAAGTCAAGACCCTCAAAAAGGGCGATACTGTTGCCCTCGAACCCGGCTACCCTTGCCGCCGCTGCGGCCCTTGCCTCTCCGGCCACTACAACCTCTGCCCAGACATGGTCTTCGCCGCGACCCCGCCATACGACGGAACCCTCACCGGCTTCTGGACCGCCCCCGCCGACTTCTGCTACAAGCTCCCCGCGCAGGTCTCCCTCCAAGAAGGCGCCCTGATCGAGCCCCTCGCCGTAGGCGTGCACATCGTCAAGCAAGCCCAAGTGCAACCAGGCCAATCCGTCGTCGTCCTCGGCGCGGGGCCCGTCGGCCTCCTCTGCTGCGCCGTCGCGCGTGCCTTCGGCGCCACCACTGTCGTCTCCGTCGACATCGTCCCGTCCAAGCTGGAATTCGCCCGCGCCTACGCCGCCACCCACACTTACCTCTCGCAGCGCGTGTCGGCCGAGGAAAACGCCCGGAACATCCTGGCCGCGGCTGGCCTGACGGAGGCCGGCGGCGCTGACGTGGTTATTGATGCTTCGGGCGCGGAACCGTCGATCCAGGCCGCGCTGCATGTTGTGCGCATGGGCGGCACTTATGTCCAGGGTGGTATGGGCAAGGCGGATATTACGTTCCCCATTATGGCGTTGTGCCTGAAGGAGGTGACGGCGCGCGGGTCGTTCCGGTATGGGAGCGGTGATTACAAGCTGGCGATTGACTTGGTTGCGGCGGGTAAGGTGGATGTTAAGGCGCTGGTGAATGGTGTGGTGGCGTTCAAGGATGCTGAGGAGGCATTCCAGAAGGTGAAGGAGGGCCAGGTCATCAAGATCTTGATTGCCGGGCCGAACGAGAAGGTCGAGGCGGGCGGGAAGTTGGATGTGAGCGTGAACCAGGAGAGGGCGAAGGAGGTGGCCGCTGCTGGGGGCGCCGGTGGTTGCTGCTAAGGGGAACACGGAACGGAAGATTCCTGTGTCTCTAGGTTGCATGTAAATGGCGTACGGTGCATCATGGGTCGGATTTCATCTTCTGTTGTCTCGTTTTGATCATGCTCTATTGGCTTGAATGGGAATCTAAATTTAATATGGAATGATAATTACCCAAAAAGATCTCTCCTGACAGAAACCCTGAAATGTAACTTACTTAGTAGCATCGAACTACTCAAAACGCTCCCTCTATCCTCTTACCGCGATTTATCCTTGGGCTCAAACCACCTGAAACCTTCCCCTTTCACTCACAACTGCCATTTACCATTCTCACCCCAACATCTAGAAGATCCCCCTTCTACAACATCCCCAAATACCTCGTCTCAATCTTGCTCTCCTTGCTCACCCCCTTCACCCCAATCCGCACCACCTCCCCCGGCACAATATCCACCAAGTTGTCCTCAAACCTCACTCCGTCATCCTCACTCTCCAGTGCCACGCCCTTGACGGGAACTTCCGCGCTGATTTCAACTCCCGAAAGATCCGCCGTGAGTTCCGCCCGCAGCGCCTTGGGTTTCTGCAAATGCACATACTTGAGCGGCTCCGGCCAGTTGACGTATCGCGCAATCTGCTTTTGTTCGCCGTTCTCCTGCTTTTGGAACAAGTACGCGGCCACCACAATCCGATCTTCCTCGCCGACGTCCTTCTCCCGCACGGGCACGTCTAGCGCGACGATCTCGGTTGACCGGTTCTCGGGTAGCAACAGAGCCGGCGCGACGGTTTGGGAGAACGTCTCCTCGCCCGTGATGACATCCCATGCCTTGAGCACGCAGTCGACGGTCAGGTTGTCCAGCGTGAGGTTGCTCCCCCAGACCTCGATCTGCGTCTTGACATCGATATTGACCCGGGTGTGCTTGTCGCGCGGGTGCGAGTGGACGCGGCGCGTGATACCGATGCTGACGGGCGCCATCTCACGCTTGACGGTGAAATACGCCAGCTTCGGGCGTAGGTAGTAGTCGGCGATACTCCAGCTTGTGACGGGCCAGCAGTCGTTGGTCTGCCAAACGAGCGCACCGCCGCAGTACTCGCGGCCCGGGCCGCGCCACTCACGCTTCCACAGACGGTAGGCGGAGGCGAGGCATTCGCCTTGCATTAGTTGCGTGCTGTAGACGAAATGCTCCAGGGGGTCGGGCGCATAGCGGAGGTTTTCCACCAGGTACAGCGCAATGCGGCGCTCATGGCCTTCGGCTTTGTTGTGGAAGTCGACCGTGGAGGACTGGGGGTATCTGTCCGGGTCGTCTTTGCCGAGCGGGAGAAACGAGTCGATGGTTTTGACGGAGGGGAAAGCCTCCATGCCGAATTCCGACACAAACCGGCCGACGAGCTTGTCAAAGTTCTGCCACTTTTCCTGCGTGCCGTGCCACACGTTCCACTGGTGGATATCGCCGACGGTAGCATCGTGGGTGTCGCGGCCCGCACCCCAGGGCGAGCCCGGGTGGTAAAACGTGTTGGGAACCAACTCAGCGCAGACATCGGCCAGGATCTTCTCGTAGATGTAGCGCGCGGGGAAGTCGGTCTTCAGCCAGCTCTCGGCATCCTTGTTGGCGTAGTCGTATGTGAGACCGGCTGATTCCTGGTACTGGTAGTCCTCGTTGTTACCGGCCCAGATGACAATCGACGGGTGGTGCCGCAGCAGTTTGACGTTCTCCGTCGCCTCACGGTGAATGGACTCGCGCAGTTCGGGCCAGGCTGGATAGTTGCCGCACCCGAACATAAAGTCCTGCCAGACCAAGATCCCGAGCTCGTCACAGGCGTCGTAGAAGGCCTGTTCCTCGTAGATCCCACCACCCCAGATACGGATCATGAACTGGTTACCGTCTGCCACGAGTTTGATCCAATCGAAGTACCGTTCCCGGCTGATGCGAGGGATAAAGTTATCGGCTGGGATCCAGTCACTACCACCGCAGTAAATGGGAATGTTGTTGACCTCAAAGAAGAAGGACGTCCCCGGCTGGTCTTTCAGCGGCCGTTGGATGAGCTCTGCCCGACGGAGGCCGATCCGCTTCGAGAGACTGTCGATTTCCTCCCCACCAACCAGCAATGTCGCCTTGATATCATACAGCGGCTGCTTGCCATAGCGAATGGGATACCACAGAGCCGGGTTGTCGATGAGAAAGGACACGCTGACGGCCTGGGCGCCAGTCACGCCGGCCGTTTCGGTCGCGACCTGTTTGCCGTTCAGGGACACATCGAATCTCACCTGGTCCGCCTTGCTCTCGACCACGGCCGTAACCTTGACGTCGGCCCGCTTTAGCGACTTGTCGATAACGGTATTGGCATAGAGGTCGGCCAAACGAGACTCGTAGACTTCCAAGTTTATGGGACGCCACGGCCCGCAAGTCAACAGGGTCGGGCCCCAGTCCCAGCCCTAGAACGCCATCTCGTCAGCCACTGCACGAACTAACACATACAGCCACAAGCTTCCCGGCATGAGTTTGGCACCTACCCAGTGATACTGCGCTTTCCTCACAGCGAGCCGTGAGGTATCGCCGTTCCAGCACCCCCACTTATGATCCGGGTACTGATCCACCAACTTGCACCCCCGGAGATACGCACTATCAAACGTGATCACCAGTTCATTCTTCCCTTCCTTCTTCAACACCGACGTCACATCCACCCGCTCCGGCAGAAACATGTTCTCCGACTCGAGAATCGTCGTCCCATTCAGCACCACCGTGGCAAAGGTATCCAGCCCGTCAAACGCAATGACCGCCTGACGGCCCGCCAACGCGGCCTGGGCCGGCACGGTAAAGGAGGTCCGGTAGGTCCATTGGGCTTCGCCGACCCATTGCACGGCAAGCTCGTTCTTGCCTATGTACGGGTCCGGGATCAAGCCGTGGTGCTGCAGGTCGAGGTGGACGTTGGTGGGGAACTGGCTGACTGGGAGGAATCGGGAGCCTTGGTTGTCGGCTTGCTTGAACTCCCAGTTTTGGTCAAGGGGAATCACGACTCGAGGGGCCATGATGAGAGCTGTGGTCCTGGGCCGAAATCTTAGATGGGGTAGCCTGGGGTGCAAAATAGAGGAAAGAAGGACGGGGCAGGTTGAGGGGTATCGTCCGGGAAATGCTGCTGAAGAGAAGGAACGAACGACCTTCAGCGCGGGGCTAAAGGGGATAGATATAACCAGCGCCGAACAGCGTTGTGTATGGCACGAAGGGAGGAAGGAAGGAGAGACCAGTGTCGGCCGGAGTGCCGCCGAGCTATATAATCAACAACCGGACGTTCTTTCCATCCCGTACGTAAGTACACATCCCCGTATCCCACCCCCCAATTCAACGGTCCGATGTAGGTACCTCCAAGCTGGACGTTCAGGCCCGAGCTCAATGCCGGATGCGCGCCGCCTCCCCCACCCCGGAACCGCGGGGCCAACTGCCCCGCGGTGACGAATAGGATTCCCAAAACGGGAACCTCAAGGATCTCGCATTCCCCACAAGTGCCACTTCGATGTTGTTATTCTTGAACAGACCTCGCCATGGTTATGGTAAGAGGAGGGGGGTAAGCAGGGGCTTTTTGGGGGATGCATGTTATTTGCCGATGTTCTGCCTGGACTTTTTTCTCCCGCTATCAATGGTCCTGAGCCTTCGTTGTGGTTCAGGAGTTCGTGGGAATTCTTTACGGGCGTTCACTGGTTGGATCCCACCAATGGTTCAGGGGATATTCCCCCCATGAACAGGAGCGCCCCGCTGTTCCCCCCGGTTTACTGGCAATGCAGTTCTGCTGTTGGTCGACCCTGCTGTACTTTGTACTAACAAAGTCGGGTATCGGATGTTTCTTTGACAGCATGTGGTCTTGATTTTTCCCACAAGATTTAACCTGCCGCGATGGTGTGGAGTTTCAAATCTGATTTTGACAGCGGAGGGAGAGCCTCCGTGACGGATTCGGTAAACGCCAAGGTCCCAAGCGCGAATGCTGCAACCTCTCGCGGCTATCGATGGTATGGTTCAGCCTTGTTTGTTCGGCGGGGTACTCTGGTAATTTGGCCGAGAGTTGGTTGGGAAGAGGGCGGAACGAGCCGGGTCGGATGCAAGAGGGCGGAGGGAGAATCGAAAGAGGAAGTAGGAGGGTGAAATGTGACTGATAGATACGTCGTTGTGGTGTCTTCTAAGCGTACCAACAGGGGTCGGTATCTGGTGCAGGGATATCATTCATCCTCCTAAGGAGCCTCCTCACATGGATGTTCACTACTCTCCAAAGCTCGGTGTGATCCTTTACACAGCATGGGCCGGCGTTCACCGGGCCTGAAGTGGAATAGTTCTTGAATGCAAACATGAAATGGCTCAAATGCGGCCATCCGAAACCAGCTCTCTATCTCGTGAACTCCATGCCAAACTTGCGACAAACCCAGGAAACCAGACAATAGACCAACAAAAGAGAACAAGCAAGGACTAATGCCAACCGCCGACTCAGTCACCTTACCACCCATTACGGCCCTTAACAGCCTGGCCGGCCAAGATTAGTAAAAGAATAAGGAAATAATGGTATCATGAAACTCCCTCAGCTCCCCACCCAGCGTTGTACGTCTCTTCTTCCCTGTCCCCACTACAGGATCCGTAATCCATGGACCCCGAGGACCCATTGAGTCCCCCGAATGACGACAGATTCCCTCAGCAGCACCCCCTGTTCCGCCTCCTCCCCGACAATGTAAACACCTCCTCCCACTCCCTCAACGCCTGCCCGCCCCTCCTCCCCTTCCGCCTCCTCCTAGCCCCCGTTCCACCACCACTACTACCTCCTTCCTCCCCAGTCATGGTACTCTTGATACTGCCCCCATCACTAGCCCCACCATTCCACATGCCTCCGGCGTCGCCATACTGGATCCCACTCATCGGATCATCCGGGTCGATCTCGCCCAGCTCAATCTTGGTCAAAATCATGCGGGCCAGCCGTCCAAATACTTCGTCGACCCCTTCGCCGCTGAAGGCGGAGACTTCCATGGTGACGGGGATTTGTACCGTGCTGGCCCAACGGCTGGCCTCGACGGCGGAGACTTCGCGGCCGTCTGGGGCGATGGTGGCTTTGAGTTGGGAGCCGAGGGTTGGGTGGATGGTGGATACCGAGGAGTAGGAGGATGGGATCGCGGGGGTGTTGGCGTGGGAAGCGCCGTGGGGGGATGGGATGCCCGAGGCGGAGCTGATGCTGCTGGCACCGCCCGGGGTGGAGGGGGGTAGGGTGGTGTCGATGAGGGGGTCGCCGGCGAGGTCGAGTTTGTTACCGACGAGGAGGAGGGAGAGGTTGGGTGAAGCGAGGGCGCGGGCGTCGTTGAGAAAGGGCTGGAGGCTGTGGAAGGAAGTTTGGGAGGTGACGTCGTAGATGAGAATGGCGCCGGCCGCGCCGCGGTAGTAGGACCGTGACACGGACCGGAAGCGTTCGGTTCCTGCTGTGTCCCAGAGCTGGGCGACCTGAGTGAGACGATGCGCTGTCTGGCTGTGGGGACCGCGGGGAGTGTGTGGGCATACCTGTAACTTTATCCGTTTCCGCCGTGCGCCGGTGCCGACCTTGATGATCTTGCTCGCGAACTCGACGCCAATAGTTTGCGACGACAGGACCCGCCACTCATTCTTGACGAAACGATGTAGAAGACAAGACCTGACTCAACTGTCAGTAAAATGGTTTCTTCATATTCCATACATGAGCCTCAAAGTGAAGTGAAGGGACAACACTGACTTGCCCGTCCCGCTTGGCCCCAACAGGATGACCTTTGCCAGATAGTCGTACATGCTCCCCAGTTCCTGCTCGCGCACCGTGCCGGTGCTATCGTCGCTGGTGGCCGACGAACGCCGAGGGCGTGTCATGCCGGGCAACTCAAAGCCGCTCATCTGTGCGAGGTATTGTTCCGAATGTTTCGTGTTTCTTGATCAATCAGGAGTGAACTGCACGGCAAGATTCGCGGCATTGGTCGGTGACAGGCGCTTGATTGCGTGGGCTCGGTCGGTCGATCGAGTCTTGTGTGTGGTTGGGTGATGTTTTCTTTGTCGCGTGTGGTGCGGTTGGTTCCTTTCCGTGGCCCAGAAGAACCTGAACCTTAAGCTTCGGTTTTGCGCAAGTTGTGTCGATATCTCGTGTGAATGTTGCAGGTGATTGCTGTTTCGTCGCGATGTTGCTTTCGTTATCTGAGTGGATGCGGCCGGGTCTTGCCTGCATGGCAGGGGGTCGAGGTTCCAGTGACATGTGGGGTAGCATGTCTGCAGCCAACCAACACTGCGGCACAGGAATTGCGTATTTCACAATTGTTTCGTAATTTCGCTGTTTTTGGTTGTCATATCCGGTGATGGTGTATTGTATGATACATGCAAAAACAGCCAAGATGAACCCCGTCGATCATGACCAGGGTCTTTGGAACCGAGGCAGTCAATCCCCTGCACCCCATATCCGGCACCTGGGCGGCATGGCTCGGACATTGACGGCTCATCCGGACTTCATGAAAGTAGATCTCTAGTTGACTATTTGACTGTTAACATCAATTGCTTTGTTTGACCTAGACAAGTTCAAATCCGGTTACCCGCTTTCACCGCGTCAAAGATGAAGATTTCCGGCCGGACTTTTGTCGTTTCAGGAGGGTAAGCCACGTCCATCCCTAACCCTCGCCTGCCCTGCTCACCTCAACCGTCGGCCATCATCCAACTCATGAACTCACCCACATGTACTAACCACCCCCCAGCGCCTCCGGCCTCGGCCGTGCCTGCGTCCAAACCATCTGCGCCTCCGGCGGCCACGCCGCCATCCTGGACATGAACGAAGACCAAGGCCAAGCCCTAGCCAGCGAACTCAACAACACCAGCCCCAACAGCGCCAAGTTCCTCCCCTGCGATGTCTCTAGCACCTCCAGCATCGCCGACGCCGTGGCCGCCATCGTTTCCTGGACGCAAGAAACGGGCAAACCGCTGGGCGGGATCATCCCCGCCGCGGGCGTCGGTAACCCCGGTCTGATCTTGGACAAGAACCTCCGGGCGGTGGACATGGAGTCGGTGGATTTTGTGTTGGGGATTAATCTGCGTGGGACGCTGGACTTGGTAAGGCAGGTGTTGCCTCATTTGGCCGCCGTCTCGCCTGCTGCCTCGGATGAGGACGGCGAGCGCGGGGTGGTCATCATGGTAGCCAGCGCGGCGGCGTTTGAAGGGCAGATGGGACAGGTAGCCTACGCAGCGAGCAAGGGCGCAGTGGCATCGATGACGCTGCCTATGGCTCGGGACCTGTCGCGGTTTGGGATCCGGGTGGTGACCGTTGCGCCGAGTATGTTTGAGTCGAATATGACGGCGCATTTGTCGGATAAGGTGCGGACGGGGTTGAAGAAGGCGATGGAGTTCCCTGCGAGGCCTGGCCGGCCGGAGGAGTTTGCGTCGTTGGTGAAGCAGGCGATTGAGAATGTAATGTTGAATGGGGTGGTTATTCGGTTGGATGGAGCGACTAGGATGCCGAGTAAGCTTTGAGGGGGTTATGGGTTGTGGTATCTTTACATGTTTGTGTACATACAATAATGGTATGGGAGAAGATGAAGAAAGCTATCACACAGTGAATCCACCCTTTCCTAGCAAACCGGTTTGTACTAACTTAGGCATCTTAGAATGACTCGCATCCCAGAATGAGTCGCAGGACAAACTTAGTTACAAAACAAAACAAAACAAGCGGGTTTCTTGCCGCTGCGAAGCCCTAATTCCTGCTGCGAGGCACCAGAGACATCTCCCAAGAGAGTCTACTTCTCCTCCTTCTTGATGTACCGATCATGCTCCCATCTCTGAACCATGGCGCTGTCAGCAGCCAGGTTCTGGGCGCCACCATGGGCACGGTGCTGAGGGTAGCCAGACAGGCGACCCTGCTCGGTCTCCCAATCGCGCATAGTAACCTCCCGTGCCTGCGAACGCGGAACCAGGCGTTCCAGACCAGGCGGGGGGCTAAGACGGCCATGGTCAAGTCGCGGGTCGAAAGGACCGGGACCCGGAGAGTAGTGGCGGTCGGGGTTGTTGTTCTTTTTACGCCTGCGGTTATTGTTGTTGTTGGTGGTCTCACGGTAGCTATGGCGGCCTGAGTCAGACTCAGTGCCGCGAGGAGTCGCACGCAAGGGTGAGCGGGCCCGGTACAAGCCATGGCCGGGGTCGTTCTCATAGCGACGGCTCATAGGAGGCGACTGGGAGCGAGTCCGGACCCCCTGCTGCTGCGGAGTCGAAACGGCAGCCAGCTGGGCCTCGAGGTCTTGGACCCGCTGGGCCAGGACCTGGGCCGTCTTGGAAAGCTCCCGAGCAGAAGACGAGAGGGCGGTGAAGTTGGCGGGAGCCTGTTGCTCCTCTCCCTTCTGCGGCTGCTGCAGCAGCTTCTTCTTCTTCTGCCGGTGTTGCTCGCTCCGAGTAGTAACACGGCTTTTCTCCCGAGCCGGCGCACGAGCCGGCACACCAGGCGCCGAAGTAGGCCACGAACGGACCACGGCAAGGGCTTCAGCCCCCATGGCCTCTTTGGCTTCCCGCTCAGAGGGGAAGTGTCGGCCAGCGGCTTTGATAGTGTGGGAGCGTTTCCCAGCTACCCAGTTGAGTACGATGTCGCAGGAGACCTGGTCGACACCCTGGTGAACGCGCCACTCGGGGTTGAAACCCCGGCACTGGCACTCGGTCGAGAGCAGGTAAGGGATCGTCTGGCCTTGGGGGACTGTGAAAGAGGGCGAAGGGGTTAGCTCGGACACGTCGGAATATTGGTTGAACGACCGGGGATCCTTATAAAGACGGGAACGGAACCGGGAGACTGGGAAATGTGAAAATGGGGAGAAGGAAATGAACAATTGCACACCGATTCCGGATGTAACTCCCGTGCTCGCTTTGCTCTCGCTCTTACCACGGGCCTGGAACAACGGCACCGAAGGCAGGGAGCGGCCAACGGCGGCAACCGATTGTCCCGCTGGACGATCTTCGGCCCTCATGGCCAAGTATGCCGCCTCTTGGCCGTGCGGAGCGGTGATTTGGTACACACCTTGCTCTTGGGCCTGTGCCACCGAACCCGGGAACAGGGAGGAGTGCATGGTGTCCATTATGAGTTAGTATCGGTAGTTCATTGCGATGGTAGACCCGAAGACTTACCCCGAGGTTCCTCCTTCACGGAACGAGAGCCAGGGAACGGCCGGAGCGGGATGTCGTGAAGGGAACGGACGGGACGGCTCGGCTCCGCGTTGTCCTCTGGCTCGCGCTTGACTGGAGTGTATTCCATGATTGAACTGCGCGAGGTGTGGTTAGTGTTGTTTCAAGTTATTCATCTTCCTAAAGTCCTGTTTGGCTTTGACGGGTACTTCTCCCATTCGCGCAAATAGTTTGGCTCGCTGCAGAAATCAATCTGTTAGCAGAGGAAACACGGACAGGACGCTTGAGTAGGGAACTTACATGGAAGCGCACACGTTCCAACTTGCTTGCCGATATTTGATACGTCTCCCAGCGAGGATAGCAACCGTGGTTAGTCGGGACCTAATCTTTGGATCGTTTTACCTTTGATGTTTGTGTCCGTTGGTTTGCGGAACTTCGTTTGTAAAGCACGGCCGCAATCAGGAGCTAAAAGTAAAGAAGACTGGTCGCGGAGGAACAGAACAGAAAAAAGAGCAGTGCAGTCGGTAGCGAAGCGGTTGATTGCGCCTTGGTAAGTCGGTACCCGACGGGAGCAAAGATCCTATTGTCATCTCCGCGATTAGTATTCATACTGTCAATCGCGACGAGTTGTCTGCCGCTGGGTACAAAGCTGGTAAAGAAAGAAGAGCTGAGGGAGAGAGAAAATCATATACCTCCACTACGCGCGTTGAGCTAAATGGCACTGAAGCTCCGTGGTGTTGAGGAATAGTGAAAAGATTTGCACGGGAAGTCGGTGGGAAGTCGGTGGGAAGTTAGAGAGTGAAGGTGTGCAAGGAGGAAGAGGACGAGTTTGGATTTCGATCAAGCAAGCGCCTTGAGTGGGTGGTCTAACTTTCCGCCTTATTATTTGGGATTTCTTTGTTTAGCAGTGCAGACCACCGTGCCTATTTTTCAATCTACTATGTTAGGGTTTAGACGGTGTTGTGGTTAGGAAGGCACGCGAGAATACACGGTGGTGAGAACAAGGGACGGAACATTCAACGCGACGCGTCACAGGGGAGAGAACAGACAATACCATGGTTTAAGGGAATAAGGAGAAGGGCTCAGCCTGCGATTTGCAAGGGTTATTATCAGGGCCCGTTTTGTTTCGAACAATTCAAGTAGTGGACATGAAATTAGTTAAAGGGGTTTGTTTACTTTAGAGTCTACTCAGGGGCTAACTACCTGTATCAAAGCAAAGAACCTGCAGCACAATCGCCCCAGTGATTACAGCAAATTACTCAACGCGTCCCCCTTCTCCCACCGTAACAGGTTCTCTACCTGTTGGTCATACCACGAATTCAGGGTCGACTCCTCCGCATACCCCATGTGCGGTGACAGCACTACCCGACTCCTACCATCCTCACCCCACTTAGTTGTCCGCCATCGGCTGTCCAGCGGCAGGGGCTCAAGATCAAACACATCCAGTGCCGCCTCTCGAATCCTACCCTCCTCCAGCACCCCCAACAAATCCTCCTCTACCACCAACGGCCCTCGGGATGTGTTCACAAACACCGCGGACTTCTTCATCACCTCCAGCTCCTTGCGTCCAATCACCCCCTTTGACCGCTCCGAAAGCACCAGATGCACACTCACCACATCTGCCGTCTTAAACAACTCCTCCTTACCAACCACCTTGAACGTCTTCTCCCCAGTCGCAGGATTCTCCACTGCCAATCCACCGTTCCTCGCCGCCTCATCAGCCTTCTCCTGCGTCAAATTCTCACTCCACGCCACCACCTTCATCCCAAACGCGCTCACCAGCACCTTCCCAACCACCATCCCCAACCTACCCAGCCCCACCAACCCAAGCACCTTCCCCCTCAAACTCACCGCCGGCGCGCTCTGCCACTTCCCAGCTTTGACAGCAGCATCATCCCACACAATATTACGCGCCGCCGCCAAAATGAGCGCGATACAGTGCTCCGAGGTGCTATCGACCCCGGCGCTGACGGTGGTGGCGAGCGGGGAACGGTCGACCGAGCCTGCGACTGGGATGCCACGGTCGCGCAGAGCGTCTAGATCGAGGCCACGGTTGCGGGTGCCTGTCGTTAGGAGGAGGCGGAGGTTTGGTAGATGGGCGATGAGAGCGGCTGGGAAGGGAGTGCGTTCGCGCATGGTAGCTAGGATGACTTGTCAGAGGAATATTGCTTTATTGTGTCGTCGTGGGAGAGTCAGTAAGAGAGAGAATTGGGAGGAGGTACATACAGATGATGGTGAAGGGTTCGAGGCGGGCAACGAGCTTGTCTTTGACTTCCTCTGGGGTATCGGGGTTGTTGTATGGGCGCAAGGTGTCGGGGAAGAAGGAGACGGCATATTTGGTAGGATTGAGAGCTTTGAATTTGGGCTCCGAGATGCCCTGATAATCGTCCAGGACAGCGATTTTAATGGGGGCCGACATGTTGATGGTTTGTTGGCGACGGTTCTATGAGTGACTGCGTTTGTGAAATTGTGAATCAACGCGAGCGAGCGAAGCGACGGCGGTGATTGTTTGAAGTGTTTTGGAATTGATGGGGGGAAGGAGATGTCTAAATAATCCGCGTTGTTGATTCCAGGGTATACAATGCCGTCATCTCCCCCACTTGCATACCCCGCAGGGCATCCCCAACTTCTTCAAGGGGCAGGAACTCGGGTGCGGGTTCCGTTCCGTCAAGCGGGTAGCCTCGGCAGTATTTATTCATAGGATATCCCGAGTCCGGGCCATCTGGTATACCTAGCGGCCCCCACTTCGACAGGACTTCCACTGTAAAAATGAGCAAGTGTTGGCTACCTTACCTAGACTTCTAAGTTCTAGCTGCGCGAGCCGGAAGACATAAAGACGGAATCCATGGGCCGGCTGACTACCAAACTAAGGTATGCATAATTAGTCCATTTGGCCCGGATGGTGTACAGAATGAGGAACCGAGAAGCCGGGGCGATCCATGATTCCATTTTAGTAAAGGACGTTGGATAGCATCAGGCTGGGGAAGCCACAGGCTGCAGCTGGTAGGACAACCACCTGAAGGTCAGGTACCTAATCAGGGGAGATTCATGACCTCCGCAGCTCAACCGCACTCACCTATCTCACCTAAGTAAGGTACCAGGGAGTACCTACTTTGCCTGGAGAAGAACCATCAAGTGCCGGATGCTCAGTCTCCATGTAAACCGCTCCCCTTTCTGCGTTGCGATGAGCTTGTCTCCCGCCCATAAAATTCTCGGTCGCTTCCAGGCTGTTAGACTGTGTTAGTGTGTCGAGCCGTCCAAGGCAACAAACGAGGTATGTCATCCATATATCGTCATTGTTCAACAGCTTCAGCCCCTGTCATGTTTTAAATCCCATTCTTGGAATAAACTTTTTTATTCTGAGCTACCATCCAATGAAAGTTGGAGACAGACATTTCTTGCTGATCCGCGGCTAACGTCTGAGGTCATGGCGATTATTAGGTTTCCCATATGCGCCTCCATGTCGGGATTGTAGAGGGCCTAAGATCACCGTATGCGTGCACGCTTGGCATGTGGCTCGTGTCATCCAGATACTGATCACAAGTCTAATTATCGAACCCCGACGATGTTCCCATCGGCCGATTGGGGGAGCCTGGCGAGGTGGCGGATGAACCAGGTAAGTATTAACCCCCTGTAATTAATTATTATTCATTATTTTGATGGTCAAAGTCATTAAGCAGGAGTTAACAGAAGCTAGTTGTGGTCCTAGATCTGGCCGGTCATCGTCAACAGCATATCGCTCCTTTTTCTCAAAGCCCAGCATACACGACGATGTAAAATGACGGCATCTTCAAAGAAAATCTGGAACGTCCAGATTTAGAACCGATTGGAGTGGTCTTTGAACGCGCATGTGAGCTAGAAGCCCGCTGCGTCGGTGTGCTGTCGGGGAAGTGTGTGTGCTAAGGTTATACTACAGAGTATGTAAGTCAACATTCGATCATCCCCCGGGAAGCTGATCAAGTGTTGATTCCCTTGTATATATAACCCCGCCTGACCTCACTATCCTGCCTCCTCCTCCTTTCAGCCGAGAAAAAGCTAAATGTCAAGTAAGACACTCTTCTCTCGTGAACCAACAACAAAATACACAACACGCAACACGAAAGGAACGTGAAGATGTCGGGTACCACACAACTGTACCTCTCCGTCGTTGGCGTTGCTCCTGAGCAGGAACTCGCACCAGAGTCTGGTATGTCTGCTTCACTGACGATTATCCCATCGGGTTTGTCGACTATCTCTTGGTACTTGCCAAGTTCATAATCTTGCACTGAAACATATAACTTGCTAACATCTATGCAGAGGAGATGAAGAGGGAGCTGGAGCTTGCGGGGGAACCCTAGGTGGCTGCTCGTCCTTCTTCGTCGGATCCGTCTGACGTCCCAACTGGTTCGCAGGCGGACCCAGCAGACGAGAGGACTGACAACGAGGCCCCTTCGGCGAGTCGCCCTGGCACCCTGAACCCCCTGGCAAACCTCGTTCTCCCAGTCGCCACCACTATGGCCGGGACTACTCCCAGCGAGGTCACTCCCAGCGTGGCCCCAAACACCATCCCGACCCCGCCTCACGGCAGTCCCCCGAGACAGCCCAACATAAGGCTGATCTTTCACGGGTGCGGGAGAATCATCGTTCGTGAGAAATTCTCACCCTCCCGTGCTGCCGCCGGATTTCCTCCACTCCCCGGGCCCCACGCCAACAGCAGGTTGGAAGCCCGGTGTAACGGGGTTAGCATTTCGGCGGACGTGTACGTGCCGCCTGAATACCAGACTCCAACTCAGATCAGGCGCTAAGGGGTGAGGTTGGAGTTTGGAGAGGCCGTCTCCGTCCACTTTGAGAATTAGGCGGAACAAAGGACGGGAGTGTGGTGGTTGGGACCTCGGGGGGTAGGGAGAGGGGGTGCTACTCAGGTGGGAATACTGAACAAAAACACACAGGATGTTATTGGCTTTGTATCACGTCGTGTTGTAGAGAAGGAGATAGCTCATTGTCGCGTATCGATTGTTTGTTACTTTGATTCATAGAATAGACCGTCACCCATCACGCAGAGAATTATGCAGCCCCTGAGTTCCACCTCTGTAATGTGAAACCGGCACCTTTCTGACGCGTGGTTTGGCACGGATATCTACGTTTGGATGGGCAAGGTGTAATTAAGCCAAGGTGTTGAATCATATGTGCCAGAAGGATATCACATATCCGATGCCCCCTAAAATCCCTGCCACGGTCCTACAGCACGAAAAGAAGTTGAAAGATGGGACGAACTTCTACCCGACGCTGTGCTAATTATTACTAGATGCTATGGTGGGTGTATTTTGAATCGTAGGTGGAGCGTGTACCTCTCAGAAGCTGGTGTTAACGCCTCCACAATAATAACGCTGAGAATATGTGTGTCGCGCCCTAGCATGGTTGACAAATCCTTGGTCGAAACACCAAATTAATTACTGGTCATCCATATTCGCAAGACGAAAACAATAGCATGTTTTCTAGGCCTGCTAATTCTAATTTATATGTCCAGAAAAAGAACATAATGGACCTTGGGCGGTTGTTGGTGAGGCTAATTATGTGGGACCATTGTGTTTGCATTGTGACCTGAATCAGTTCGTGGAAGAGATTAAGTGGTACGAGCTCTCTGAAGCTTACTCCAAGGTAATATGGTCGGATTAACGGACTGAGCAAGAGGAAAAAGGATCGCTTGTCCGTTAACAAGACCAACTTGGTACAATCACTACAATGTCTGGCATGGCGTGGCCGGCTGGGAGACAGTGGAAGCTCCTATAGGAGGCATTGATTGGTGCAATTCAATAACGCCGAGCCGTTTAATTGGGGGCATGGCAGACCAGTAAGCCATTCGTCTTCCCCCAGCTGAGGTGATCATCGAGTCGAGAAGAAGGGCAGGAAGGGTTACAGAGGGGCTGGCTTCGCTAGTAATTACTCACTTCGTCCTCGGCACCGTTGACCAATTCGAGCCTAACTAATCATGGGCTGGCCGAGGCTTACTTCATGGAGGCTCGAAACATGTGGGCAAAGGGCGATCAGATGCGGTGCTGATCCAAGCTCTCCGAAGGTGGTTTAGTTAGGAGAACGAAGGAGAGCAACTCCAGGAGCGGCGCGCGCCCAGTGCCGGAGATATCGGAGATGAGAGCACCGATGACTGCTTGATTGTGATCGATTGACGCTACTTAAACACTCGTACGATACGGGCCAGCAGGGGTTAAGTAAGTACCCGAGAGCATGCCCCAACGGGGTTATGAGGCTAGGTTTGCAACATCTCATGATTGAACCGGCTTGCACCACGACTGAAGGAAACCCCTCAACAGCTGATGCCAAACGAGGGTGGGCGTTTTGTTTGTCTCAGCGCCTGACTAACGTTACCTCACCAGGAGATTCGGCGCATGTCCATCTTCCCGTCTCGATCACCAACTCAGAGGTTGGGATCTTGGGATCTTGGGGAGAGATTACTGTCTCGTTCTGCAAAACGCCTCTCGCATGATCTATCCGGAACTGTGCGTGTACTGTACGTTGTGCACATGGGGATCATAACTGTCTCCGTTGAGTCCGTTCCAAATTCGTCACCCACATGTTTCAAAATTCCTGCGCTGGCTTGGCTGATTCCAGGGAAGTCAAACACCCAGCTTCAGTCCGCGTGGTGTGGCGCGAAACGTGGCGTGCCAAAGCTTTTTTGATTTCCAATTCCAACCAAGCACACGGCCAATCGGCGGGCAACCCGCGGCGGTCGCTTAGCAAATTTCGACGATCATGAATCTGCTTCTCGGTTAGCTATTGAGCTGCCTGCAAAGGGAAAGAAAGCAGAATTGCCCAGGCGCGCAATGGCCTAGCGCGCCTTGGACACGGGGAAGGGAATATTATGACACCCCATCGGCCCGACGCCTTTCCGTCCCATTCGGCAGGATGAGCAAGCTCCCTTTCCTTATTGGATAGCTTTGGCGCTCCTATTTGTGTGCTCAGGCCGCTGAAACCGGTGAGCAATGGGACAGAACATTGTCCAGAATCTTTGAAGCTTGACGGGACACCTCGGATCATCCGGAGTCGAGATGGGTTAGTTCTTGTCGGCGTTGTCCTGACTTCCTCTCCCAAGAGAGCAACTAACGGGAGGTCTGCCCCCGGCCACATCGACCACGTCGTTCACCTCTTTTTGTATGTACCGGTGACCGGTCGCGGTTTGCGCCATTCGAAGAAGCAAATATTAGCGGCTGCATCCCCCTTTGCCTTACGTCCGCTCGGTGTGCGCCTCCGGATACACCGATGATGGTGTCGACGATTCAAGAACCTCCCCTCGCGAGCAAACCCCCTTTCGACGACACTGGTGCCGGCTCACGCACTTCACACGCACAAGCAGCCTGTCTCCGGGCTTCAAGACGACAACGACGAATATCGAGACAACGACAACGACCGGGGCGCTCGCGATGGCGCCCAACGACAGCGGCATGAGCGGCGACAGCCGACCGACCGACCACGCCATGACAGCCATTGTGGTGTTTGTCAGCTTGTCACTCTACAACGTGGCGGAGCTCGGCCTCATGATCTTGTCCACATTCAAGCGACGACGAGGGCTGTATTTCTGGAGCTTCGTGGTGGCCACGTTCGGGATCGCGCCCTATGCGATAGGGTTTCTGTTAAAAGGCCTCCAGTTGTCCCTTCCCGGCTGGGGATACGTGACTTTGATCGTGGTTGGCTGGTCTTGCATGGTAACCGGCCAGTCGCTGGTTCTGTACTCGCGACTACACCTCGTGCTCCGCAACGCATTCCGGCTGCGGCTGGTGTTGGCGATGATCGTCACCAATGCCTTTATCTGCCACATCCCCATCACCGTCATGGCGTACGGAGCCAATTCCAGCAACCCGGCCCCGTACGTCGGACTGTACTCTATTTACGAGCGAGTGCAGGTCACGCTGTTCTTCCTGCAAGAAATGATACTCTCTGCCCTTTACATCTACGAGACAGTTGGGATGATGCGTGTCCGGCGTCGTGGCGCATCTACATGGTGTCTCATGACGCATCTCATTGCCGTCAACGTCACAGTTGTGGTGTTGGATGTCACGATCCTCGGTCTCGAATACTCGGGGCTGTATGATGTACAGACATCCTACAAGGCGCTTGTCTACAGCATCAAGTTGAAGCTGGAATTCAGTATTTTGAATCGACTCGTGGAGGTGACAAGGGGCCGCGGCGATGACTTCGTTTTCACCGATGGCAGCTCTTCATACGCCAGGACAGGAGCCGGAAGCGGCGTGCGGCGGGAAAGTCTGGATGCGAGGGCGAAGAGGAAAAATTGGGCTGATAACACGGGCGCTGAACTTGGACCTGCTGAAGCACGAGTGGCATTGCCTGTCGCGGGGGTCTCGGGAGGGGAAACCAGCAGCTCAACGGCCGAAGTTCCCGAACGAAGACGCCACCGGCGTTCCAAAGGGAGACGCGACAAAAGCGGCAAGGAAAACATTGACGACAAGCCGGGCCCGGGTTCGGTTTTGGAATGTGCTATTCGGGGGGAAACGCAGCTGGTGGTCGATTCCTCGGAAGGTATTGTTAGCAAAGAAATTTCATGACGCCATTCAAGACACAACTTGCGGCCTTTGCCCGCCCCGGCTAACAGCACTCGGAAACGGAATCATCTTTTGGACGCTTTGCAACGGCTTCCGGATCGGTGGGAGGGAGGTACGGATAGTTGGGATGGGCAGCTTTGTGAAGTTCGGGGTCTCTGGTCGCGCCCTGATGGTGGCAGGCGCAGTGAGGTAGGGTGCCATCTTCGATTCTTGTTTCTCACGAACCGGGTTACCGAATCCTTTCCATGAACAAATTTGGCGAAGATGGGCGCAATGTTGCAAAAGCCGGCAACCAGCAGGCCGGCGGGCAACCTAAAAAGGATGGCAGATTGGTATCTGCCCAATGGAGATCGCAGCAGCAACAAAGGCGTCCCTTCCCCATCCTATCAGTTTCGACACAAACCAGGCAAGTCGGCTGCGAAGACCACGAGTGCGTCGGTTGAGCAGTGTCTGGCATTGGGCAAACAGCCTGACAGCAGGAGCTCCAGTGATGAATGCCCGCCAATCGATCAGCTTGCTGGCCGGGCGCCGCGCCTCTTTCGGAAGGTGCGGGCCTCTCCACCCCACCCTTGTCCGGCATTTGACGCCCCAGCGTTACAACCGAGATTCGTGGGGTGGTTGTCAAACGAAGCACGATGTCGTCGGCCGGTCGCCGGTGCCTGGAGGCTTGGCTTTGTGACAATCCCCGAGCTTTCTTCATTTTGCCCTGTTTCTGAAACAATTTAGAAGGCGGGAAGAGAAGGATACATAGTCGATCGCTTCCCGCGAGCGGAGCCGTTAGGAGGAGATCGATCATCCCAAAAGGAGCGCTTTATCCTCTTCGGAAGGTTGCAGCGGTCCAATCAACGGGCCGCATCAGCGTGCTCACCTCCCGAACATGGAAGCTGCCATGCGCGTCATGCGTGAAACGGGGGTTGGTGGTGCTGAGCGCATGGGGACCAGCGACGCAACGGGCCAGGGCAACACGGCATGACCCCCGCAAACTTGGCTGCGGGCTCCCGTCGAGCTTCCGCTTCCCGCCAGGGCCCGCACCGGGGCAGAACTCCCCATGACCGAGGAGATGGATGGGATGACGGTGGCCCCTATAAGACCGCGACTACCGGCGGCCAAGGAATTCGGACGGAAGCTAACCTTGGCCGGCACCTCTACACAGCACAGCTTCACCCCAGCCGTACTTCCCTAGCCCTCTCGTCGACCCCTTTCTAATCTTTCCCAACATGCGGTCCAGTCTTTTCACCTCGTGCGGCCTCCTTGCGCTCGCGTCCGCTGCCGTTGTGCAGCCGACGCCGGTGCGCAAGTCGTACGATGGATACAAGGTCTTCCGCCTGACCGTCGGCGACGAAGTTGGCAAGGTGAGCAGCATCATCGAGCGGCTCGGTCTCTCGACGTGGAAGGGGAAGCCCAAGGCTGGTGGCCACTCCGACATTGTGGTGCCCCCTTCGCAGATCCAGGCTTTTGAGACTGCGGTCAAGGGCATGACGGTGGCCACCATGCACGAGGACTTGGGCGCGTCCATCGCCCAGGAATCGACCTTCCACACGTATGCTGGTATGTAACAGGTTGTGTTGTCGCCTTGGTCACAGGTGACAGAACCCATCTTCGGCTCCATTTTTAACTGTGATCATAGCTGGATCCGCCAACGCCACCTGGTTCGAGTCGTATCACAGCTACGAGGACCACTTGCAGTACTTGAACGACCTGCAGGGCCAGTTCCCTGACCAGGCCGAGATCGTTACTGCGGGCGAGTCACTGAACGGGAATGCCATCACTGGCATTCACTTCTGGGGTAGCCAGGGCAAGGGCAAGCCGGCTGTTGTGTTCCACGGGACCGTCCACGCTCGGGAGTGGATCTCTTCCATGGTGAGTTGAGGTTTTGAACGATGAGTGCCGGGAGGCTTGTAAGATGCTAACCTCGGACGCTAGACTGTCGAGTACTTCGCTCACAGCCTGTTGAATGGCGGGGATGACGCGGAAATCAAGGGTTTCCTCGACACCTACGACTTCTTTTTCTTCCCTGTCGTCAACCCTGACGGTACGTGCGACTCGTTCTCTGTGTCCGGATGCACGCCAAAGGTTCAACAATTACTGACGTCACTTCCGCAAAGGCTTCCTCTACACCCAGTCGGATGACCGCATGTGGCGCAAGAACCGTCAGACCAGCTCTGGCAGCAACTGCCTCGGTCACGACATCAACCGTAACTGGCCCTACAAGTGGGATGTCAGCGGTGGCGCGTCCACCAACCCGTGCGCTGAAGACTTCAAGGGCGAGAGCGAAGGCGATGCCCCTGAGACCCAGGCGCTGTCCAAGTGGATTCAGGGGATCAAGGACGGCCAGGGCGTCAAGCTTTTCATTGACTGGCACTCGTACTCGCAGCTGTTCATGACTCGTAAGCATTTCCAACCTTTGAGAGTAAGAAAAAGAGTCGAAAGGCGCTAACCATATCCCAGCCTACGGCTTCTCCTGCACGGAGACCGCGCCCAACAATGACGAGCTGCAGTCTCTGGCCGAAGGTGCCGTCGCGGCCATCCAGGAGGTGAACGGCGTCGAGTTCACCCCTGGCCCCATCTGCCAAACCATCTACAAGGCCACCGGCAGCAGTGTGGACTATGTCAACGACGTTACGGGCGCCGACTACGTCTTCACTGTTGAGCTTCGTGACACTGGCGCGTATGGCTTCGTCCTGCCGGCTGATCAGATCGTCCCGAGCGGCGAGGAGGCTTTCGCTGGTGTGCGTTACCTATTGAAGAACATGAAGTAAATATGGGATTTATCGAGGGTTGCATAGCGTGTGGCTGTTAGGGATTGTGGATTTAGGTGGGAAGGTGAATCATGGGAAGAGAAGCATGCGACCTTGATGGAGAGAGGAGTGGAGGTGATATTGAACTGTATATATTCCGAGATTCTTATTATATTCCATTTCCACCAGCCATTTCAACGCCTGCGATGCAACTTTCGAGACAGGAAGAAATCTCCTGCATGCGTCAACGCCCATGTTGACGATGGGTTGACGGTTACCCACTGATCCGTGTGTACAGGGAAGTCGCGAACCCACCAGTTGCACCTGCTAATTAAACCTCATTTGTACCTCCTGCTAGTGCAGGCCAAAATAATGTATGTGAAAATTGTCCGCTCGACTACCCCTCTTAGCAAGAAGTTCAACGGAGTACCTTCAAGCGCTGCTCCCAACATTTTCTAGTGTTGTGTTTTCTCAGCTGGCGACGCGATGCGAGTTCTTGGTGATTCGCACCACGAAAAAGAAAACAAAAACAAAAACCCGGATGATTCTTCCGTATCGTCTCCTTTCTCTGTCTTCCCATCCAGCTCGGCATGGCTGTGTAAGTATGGTGTTTCTTTGTTTGTGAAGTTGAATTGGAACGACCATGGTGTTGATCTGGGGACAGGAGTGCAGGTCCAACCGATTGGGGCAGTGCTTGGCTCAGCTGGCCGAGGTACATATGTGAGGTGTAAAGGTCCTGCGTGGATGGACCACCCGTCAACTTCAGGTTAAGGGGCTCTCGCTGGTTCCCCCCCTGACCACGGCCCTCCGGGGATTCCCGCCTGTCCGCCGGCACGGCTCGCCAGAACTACGAATAGCAGGGCTGCCCCGATGCATCGGGATTCAGCTCAGGGCAGCCACAGGTCCTTTAAACCCCGCACTAGCCCGCACCTGTATGCACCGCGCCTACTGGCCCCTGCAATGGCATGATGGCATCAATATACCAGCACGATGGCGGCCCGCACATACACAGGGCTCCGTGTCTAGATGGCGAAGGGAGAAGAATATGCACGGGAGTTGCGAAAATAAGCCAGGAAATCGTTGAAACAAACGCGGTCGAAGCTGTGTGCGTCGTAGCCCGAAGTCTTCGATCCATTCCATGTCTACGCGGAGAGGCAGCACTCCTTGGAGACAGTGTATGAAGGGTGCGCTGTCAAGCGTATCGGAGGGATACCTCCTGGCTGTCAGAGTTGTCCGATTACATGATGACTGGAATTAAAAAGGGGCAAGTGATCGAACCCCAGGCCTGACTGAGAGATGTCATGAATGCTGACGTAGCGTCCAGTCCGCCCAGCCAGTCCGCCTAGCCCAGTCCACCCAGCTAAGTCTGCTCAGCTCAGTCTGCTGAGCCTTACTCGATGTAACAACGAACTGGTAATACCCCCGCTCCCCTGAATGTTCGTTGAGCCTTGTTCAACTACTGTTCCCTTCTATATTCCGCACTAATCGTATATTCTCCCATTCACAGTTAGTACACCTCAATAGCGTTCTCCCCTTAGTAATCAGATCGGTCCAAAACACCATGGCCAACCCCCAAAAGACCTACTTCCTTCCCCCCTCCTGGGACTACCACCCATCCGGCCCCATCCAACTCGGCAACCTAATTCTCTCGCCCTCTGATCCGGCGGACGCCCTCAACGGCCCGACCTGCCCGCGCCCCCTTCCCGAATCCCTCTTCCCCCCCGTCCCCAAAACCAACGAAACCTGGTCCACCACTACCACCACCACCCAACGCTACGGCATCTTCACGGAGCTCCTCGCGCCGGTCCTCGGACTCGGCGCCAACACCGCCGTCGACCACACCGCCCGCGGTACCAGCACCTTCCGCTTCGCAGAATCCGAAACGCGCGAGTTCGCGCCCACCCCGGACTTCGTGCGTGCCTGCCTGGCTGCGTCGCCCGACGCGCTGGAAGTGCTCGCGCACGCGCGCTTCCGCAACCCCTTGTACATGGTGACTGCGGTGAAGGTGGTGCGCGGGGCGCAGGTGGAGGTGGGAAGGGTGCGGGAGGGTGGAGTTGAGTTCAAGGTGGGTGTGGACGCGACGATGCTGGGCGCGCCGGTGACTCTGGGCCCCGAGGTCAATGTTGTGCGAGGCAGGGAAGAGAGCGCGGCGTTTGACGCCGCGGGGGAGTTTGTTTTCGCCTTTCGGCTGAGGAAGATTGTCGTGCGGCGAAGGACGGGGCAGGTCTTGAGGACAGAGCCGTTCATATCGGGCGCAATGTACGACGCCGAGCGTCCGGCGGAGGTTGAGAAGTTTGTGGTGGATGAGGAAGCTTGCCAGGAGCTGTCTGTCGAGGAGGGGGATGCCTGGGAGACCGTGGTCGGGGATGGCGAAGAGGTGGTTTACGTTAGGCCGACAGAGAAGGGTTATTGACAAAGTGATGCCAACCTAAGATGGATATACTGACGTTCATATCTATTACGGTAATTAAGGTAGTCAACTGTGCGGTAACTATTCGGTCAAGTCTCTAGCTCCTCTCTTTGTTTCTCAGGTCCGACGTCTTTGCCTGGCAAGGTGGTTGCTACCTAGGTTCGGTTCATGACACAACAGGGGCAAATAAGAAGCACATCATTGTCAATCTCCCTGCCGGCTTCTAGAAGCCAACCTTTATGAGAGGCTCAATATGCCTACCGCTTGACCCCGAGAGCTAGCCCGGCGCCGAGTATGGTTTAGCGCAGACACGAAATAGGTACCTACGTTTGCTTCAGGATTACCAGACAAGTCAACCTACCTTGCTTTGGCCTAAACCCCCTTTGACCCATTCACATACATAACCCTGGGGGTTATATATGAGAGAAATAAAAGTGCCATAAATCATCCTATAAAAAGTACATAATCACCATCTTACTCTCTTCATTAGTGTATACATGAATTGTGTTTTTCTTTACCACTATCTGTCAAGGGCTTAGGCCTAGGACCGTGCCCTCGCAAAGGCCTTGGGCATGAGCAGTAGTGTTCGATCGTGGCCGAGTTGGCCCTCTTCCGTGACAGGCTCCGCGGGCCGGTTCCGTGCCGGTTAAGTGGGGCGGGCAGTTCCGACCGACACCCGCCCCGGACCCGATCCGGGAGTGGAGCCCAACAAACGCTTTCTCAACGACGTAATAAAACGCCTATCTGCATTCTGCCATAGGGCCAGTTCCTCACACTATATACTAAAGGGAAATCGATCAGGTAAAACCGTTAAGGATATTGGTACAAGAAGGAAAAACGCTAACAAATCTTTCTTCTCTTTCTAAAGCTTTGTTTACCTGGTTAAACCTCTTGAAACTCGGATAAAAAAATGAGTATATAAGAGTACAAGTAACATATCCAAAATTTGACCACTATTTATAAAGTCCTATGTGGGTTTTTCGTGGTGTTGAATACGTGAGTTTATATGGAAATCGGTGGGCCAAAGGGGGTCTGGGCCGAAGGCGGGTGGGTTGACTTACGTGTCCTCTGTCCGTGGTCACCATTCTCTCCCTTCGATGATGTTCCTCATCAGCAATTTTCTCTCCCCCGGCGTTCGCTTGTAAAACATGTCTAGCGACAAGACGTGATAACCGTGTCTTGTGTGTGCGTTCCGCGCGAGCAAATCCTTCATCTTGTCATACTCCTTGAACCTTTTAGCTTCCTGCGCGGTCAAGTTCTGGCGCGCATACAGAAGAAAGGTTGCCGCGACGCCTGCTGCAATGGGAGTAGCAAACGAAGTCCCCGATTTGCGCTTGGTCCGGACGTAATGGGATGACCCGTGAGGCTTATATTGTGGCCATGCCGAGTTGACGCCTTCGCCGAGGGTCAGGAAGTTGACATCGTTGTTTCTCACCGTCGGACAAGTCCTTGAGGAATTCCCCTTTCCGTCGCCGGCGTAGATACAGAAAACGCCGCTTTGTCGCGCAGGGAATGCCGGAATGCCATAGGCTCCGATGTTCGATGCCGCAGCAAACAGAAGAACACCGGCAGCTTGGGCTCGAATGACGGCCGCACGGAGCTCATCACACCCTTGCCTCGTCTCATCGCGGAAGCCAAAGGAGATGGAAATGACGTCCACCTGCCACTCGACTACCGCATGGTCGATGACTTCGGCAATCCGGCGCGGCGGGGGGGGTACGGGGTCGGCTACTTGAGCAGCGACTTGGGCGAAGTAGACGTCGCAGTCGGGTGCCACGTCGAGCAGAAGGTTGGTTACGTGAGTCCCGTGGCCGCATAGGTCACCTCCTGTCGACTCATCACGGTGGGGTAACCAGCTCCTTACTTCCCGGATGCGGCTCTTGTTCCTGCGGATGTATGTATGCCCTTCGTCGAGACTAGTATCAAGGACTGCTACCTTGACGCGAGGCACGGTCGTTGGGTCCTCGATGAGTTCGTCATAGAGATCACGGTGAGTGTTGATGAAGCTATCGGCAAATCGGCATCTTCGGGCGGGAGAAGAAGACGGTCAGCAACAACTCAAGCTCTCTTTGCAGTTTACACCCACTGACATGTCGGCGGAATAATCACCCGGCGTGTCATCGTCGAACTGGCCGCCAGAGGTTGATGATGACGCTGTTCGGCGTTGATATCGCGGAATTGGTCTAGGTTCGCCGACTGTAATGGCTACGGGTGTCGAAGCTAACCCGCTGTGATACTGACCAGAGGAGACTAGCCCCTGTCGGCCCGCGATAACCCTGGTCTTGGATTTTCGCTGTTGCGTAGCTGGTTCCGGGGAGATGGAACGCTGACGCTTCATCCGGGATGGTGGGGTGGATTCCTTGACCCCGGCTTCGAGTTTACAGACAATCTCGGTGTAGAGGCTTTTACGAATCGCGGCCTCGGCAGCCTTGCCATCGGTGCCGATTAACCTCAACGCCTCGGAAATTTGGCGGTGGACTAGGAGGCAGCCTGACACGGCCGCGAGGTAACTGCCGCAGTGTTCTTCCTCAAGCATTCCGACCATCTCGAAGAGCTCGGCCCAAGTGGCGAGGTTAGTCTTATGTTCGTGGTGGCTAATTTCATAAGGAATGGCGTCGCCGAACTCGATCTCGAGGAGGAGTTTTGCAAATGACAGGAGGGCAGGATGGCCGGCGCGGAAGTTGGTCCGCTCAGCCAGGACTGGCCAGTCAGAGTCAAAGGAGAGATAAAGGGTGTCGCTTCGGGACTGGCTTGAAGTGCCGCTGAGAAGAGATATGCGGTTCGAGCTCAAGTCGCGGTCGAAGAAGTCCATGAGGCAGTAGCCGAGGCGAACTGCCAAAGCCCGCTTCTCGTGTGGCTTGTACCTCCTTCCGCACCCGCTGAAGAGCATCCGAGGGCTCATCGACTGGAAGGCGCCATTCAAAATGAGCTGGTCCAGCGTTTCCATGGGCATCGCCCGAGAGCTCGTCTGCGATTTGGTCCAGGCGCCAAACAAGCCATCCTGCTTGATCATAACGACAAGGGCCTTGCCCTGACCAATATTGCGACCAAGGTCGGCGCAAAGGTCTTTGACCACGGCCATGGAAGCGGTCCAGCGCCTGAAACACAGGTTAGAAGCACGTGGGGGGATGGGGGTGAGCGGACGTACTCACGACTCGGTGAAACTGCATTGTAGATCGAGCCACCCGCACTTGTCCCGGCAGGCGGACAGCCTGAGATTCAGCTCGGTGGATATGGTACGGTGCGCCTCTTCCGAGAGCTTCAACATGATTGCGTGGCTTCGTCTGCATTCGAGGCGGTTGACAAGAGCGCTGAGGGTTGTGGTTGCTCGGTCGCGCAGGTCCAGGTCTCCCCATGATTTCTCGGCTGGGGAATCGGCCCGTTCCGAGTTACTCTTTGCCGTGGGTGAAGCTTCTGTCTCCTGTGCGGACGGCGGGAGTAATCGATTGAAAAATGCATTGCGTTCTGTCAGCTGTTCCAAGTCGCGGTCGCTCTCGGCCTTGTTGTCCGGAGCTTGGAACAAGGACAGGTCCGATCTGGTTGCGAGATGATAGGACTCAGTAGATTCCCGCAACAACTCAGCAAGCGCGAGGAGACGCGGATGGTCCCCTGGTGCCAGTGACCCGGGCTCCGTCTTCAAGGGCAGCCGAGGGTCAATAAGCCTCTCCAGCAGATCACACAGCGCCTTGGGCCCGAGATCAGACTCCCGAAACTCGTCGTCTGACAGTCCCCGAAAGAGCTTGGGGAAGTTTCCGAGACAAAAAAACAGCCGTCTCAGCTCAAACTCAAAAAACACTTCTGCAGAACTGCGGGTATCGGGAGGTGGAGTCGGCGAACGGCGCGAAGCGATGTGGGCTTTCCGCTGGTTGACGAGCGCTCCCAGATCTCGAAGGAGTCGTGACTGTTCGCATTCCGTGGTGTGCCGCATGAGGGGCGTCTGGCGTTCAATGAATAGATCTGCGGGACGGCGGATGGTGTTGCGAAGAGAAAAGGTCATCGCTTGCAGCTGGAGCCTTGTGAGGGGAAACTTGAAAGTGACTGGGTATGTCGGGTACCATCACATGCGGGGGTGGCTGAGAATACCAACTCCTGCACGCTGCTCCCTGTTCTCATGCTTTCCATTCAACCGAACCGACAACCACTGTCCTGTGTTGTCTGTCTTGGACGCCTCGAGTCTACCTAGGGGATCCAACGGGAAAACTTGACAGCGGACAGCCAGGACTACGCCATGGATTTCGGACAGGTACCGACGACCCGACAGGCCAACCGGGACGTTCACATCGCGGACGAAGCCGGCGATATATTGTACAACCTAGCTTGCGAGTGCGAGACTTTGTTCAATGCTCGCCTCGCCGAGCTTGAGGGGCAAGTGTCTCCCGTCGCGGAATTGCTGACCGAGTACCAGCAGCGCTTTGCGATTTGGGCAGCGTATCTGGGCGTCTTTGCTCGCAAGAGCCAGTCTTTAGACAAGAGGCTTGAGAAGTACCCCGACGTCGTTGACCTCGCCGTGCTCCTCTTGGACGAGGTCCGACGCAATCTTGCGCAAAGTGGGTGTCTAGCTCCACATGGCCATCAATCTACGACGCTACGTACTTGTTCTTCTAACCAACCAACTCGCGTGCAGTTGAGGGTTCCAAGCCTAGTAATGAGCCCGGGGTAGAGGAGGACCACGAGGACAATCAGCACACCCGCGTTGCCGCCCTGGAAGCCCTTGAGGCCACCTTTCCTCGGTTGAACCGACTTGGGGTCACAATACGTCGAGCGTCCCTCGACAAAATCATCGTCAAAAGCCAGAGGTTTACAGCCACCGTCGACCGTACGAGCTTCACTGACGACTGTCGATTCTGCGTGCAGGTGCTCTACCCGGAATGTCACCCGTCGCTGAGAGAGTATTTGGCCAAGACCATGACGACCCGGTATCAGACCATGTTATACCAGGCGCACCGGACCGAGACGCTTCAGTCACGCCGCCCCACGAGACCCTCCGAACCAATGGCTGCCATTGCGGAAGGGGAGGAGCTCTCCCAATCACCCCATCCTAGCACTGTCGATAACACCCAGGCGGGACCCGGCAGGGCAAGCCATGTGCCAGAGACACACCCCGTCGCGAGGTCCACCATTTCGCAGTCCGACGACCTCTCCTCGATCAACAACAGCACGCAATTCCGCCAGCAGATAGCCAGGGGGAACTACCTCGCGGCCCCGACTGAGCGACGGGGAGGAACTTCCTCCATTCAAGTGAGCCGGGGCAAATACCCCTCACTGGGCGTACAGAAGAACGCAGACATTGCACGCTGCCCGTGGTGTGGCGCGCTTATGGATAGGAGGAGAATGACCGAGAACGAGTGGAGGTGCGTGCCCCTTTTAATTACTCCCAAGGCTTGAAGGCATCGCTGGCTGTCCGGGTCTGATTTACCTAGACGGCATACCGACGAAGATCTCGAAACCTATCCCTGTATCTCGGAGGAATGCCCCGACGGACACCCAGCCCACCCGAGCTTCGACGCGTGGTTTCATCACATGAAAAGCCACAGCCCACTGTGGCATGAACGACTATACCCTACCCCGTCTCGCGTCCACGTCTGCCTCGTCTGTGAAAACAACCACGATGTCTACAACACCGCAGAAGAGCTCCATCGTCATCTGACCGATGACCATAGTGACATGTTCGATGCCAGCAAGCTCCGCGTCATCGCCCAGGGAAGCAAGGTCGAACGACCAAGGCCGTGGAACGAGTGCCTTATGTGCCGTTATCCCGTCGAAGAGGTCGCAAGACTGACACCACCAAAACGCCAGAAGAGGCAACTCTCTCTAGACCACAACAAGAGGCTAAAACCCGCTGCCGCTCCTGAGCTGCAAGGTCCGAGTGTGCCAAGGAAGCTTGAGGATTGCCCGAGTCCCTCAGACGACTCCCTCGAGGAGCAAAACAAGCCCGCTTTGGACGACTCCAAGACGATGGCGCGGCACATTGCAGGACACTTGCAAACCCTTATGCTACTGACCATACGGCTCGCCTCTCTGCAAAAAGAGGAAGATGGTGATGAAGAGGAGGACGACGCCGACAGCGAGGCAGCCGAGCTCGACGACCCCAGCGGCGTCAGCGGCGCCAGCGACGCCATAAGAGCCTTGGACCCCGAAGGGGGGCAGTTTGGCTCCCCTTCGACCGGGAGTTCCCTATCCGATGGAGAGGCACTCGAAACCGTGGATATGCCGCATGTCGATCCTATCCCTGACGCTGTCGTGGATTTTGATGCCGTGCCCAGACCACATGATGGACTACCGGTTGAAGAAGACGAGTTGCTGCAGGAGCTGATCGAATCCTGGGCGTCTCGACGGAGTCTACACCGGCTCGACTCGCGCGAACGTGAAGACTCGAACGTGAGGGAAGCCGCCGTTGATGCATCCCGTGAAGCGCAGCAAGGCGACGGTGCCGATCGTGCATCCGACATTTCCATCCCCTCATCCACCATACCCGCCACAGACATCCGTTTGCTTGCCCTCGACGGCGGCGGTGTGCGCGGCTTGTCCTCGCTCATGGTCCTTCGCGAGCTCATGGCCGCGGTCAACCCCAACACCCCACCCAAGCCCTGCGACTGCTTCGACATGATCGGCGGCACCAGTACCGGCGGCCTGATCGCCATCATGCTCGGTCGCCTACGCATGACCATCGACGAGTGCATCGACGCGTACACTACACTGTCTGAAAGGGTCTTTGAGAAGGCTTATAGCGGGAGGTTCGACGCCGACGCGCTGGAGCTGGCCGTCAAGGATATTCTCGTCAGCCGCGGCCTCGGCGAGGACGCACTGCTTATGGATGTTGATTCCCCTTGCAAAGTGTAACTTGCCCTTGCCCCATCTTGGACTTCTCATGGCCCATGTACTGACCTCCCTACCTTACCTATCAGTTTCGTTTGTGCTCCGAGCAAGGAGACCGGTGATACTATCTGCCTGGCCAGCTACCGCTCCCTGCGTAGCAACAACTCCGACCTCCTTAATGCCACTACAATCTTGCAGGCCTGTTGCGCGACAGCCGCGCCTACGATCCTCTTCGACCCCACTTCCATCGCACCTTTTGGCGACACGTTCGCCGTCCGCGAGAACAATCCCGTGAACGCGCTGTGGAACCAGGCCCAGGACGTGTGGGGCGATGGGCTACGGGGCAATCTTCAATGCCTAGTGTCGATCGGCACGGGCGTCCCCAGCCTGCGGCCCATGCCCGACCATGTCCTCAAAATCTGGGCCACGTTGAGGGACCTTGCGATGCAAACGGAGGAGATAGCACGGCGGTTCCATCACGATAAGTGGTATCTCCACGATGAAGGACGGTATTACCGGTTTAACGTTGACCACGGGCTTGAGGAGATTGGGCTGGAGGAGTCGGAGAAGCAGAAAGAGATTGCGGCTGCGACGCAGCGCTACGTCGAGTTGCACTGGGTCTTCGAGCGAATGGAGGCATGTGCGAACAATATCGCGGGACGAGAGTGTAAGTCGTTCTCTGGGTCTACTTGATTTCGGTTATAATACTGTTTCTCTGCTAATCTAATGTACTAGACTTTGGGCCGTACCGAACGGTGTTTTCTCTGCATGGCGCGCCCCTGTCGGACCGCTTTGTTGACCGAGAGTCGGATACCGTCGAGCTCGAACGGTGCCTCCTCCCGCGATCTCGCTCCCTACGAACGCGACGGCAAATATTTGTCCTTTACGGATTGGGCGGCATTGGGAAGACGCAGCTGGCTGTTGACTTTGCTCGGCACCACCACGCTACCTTCAGCTCGGTCTTCTGGCTGGATGGCAGGTCGGAGGACCATGTAAGGCAAAGTCTCGCCGGCTATGCGAGCAAGATACCCAAAGGTCAGATTCCAGACAGGAGCAGAGATTCTGACCTGAAGAGGGAAACAGATGTCAACATCGTGGTGTCGGACGTGATGAACTGGCTCGCACAACCGGACAACGACAGGTGGCTGCTTGTATTCGACGACGTCGGCCAAGACTTTAAATTGAGTATTGAGACTGATGCTTACGATATCCGGCGGTATCTGCCCGGCGATCACGGGTCGGTACTGATCACGACACAAATAGCGCGGATGGCGCGGCTTGGTGATTCGAGACTATTAAAGAGCGTCGGTGGAGAGCTCGGTCACGATATTTTTGAGCGGTGGTATGGGCAAAAACTGGGTATGCTACTGTTCACTTATGGGCCTGGGGCTATTATCTCTCCTAAGTGTGGGCCGAAGCTGATTGATAGCAGTTCTGGACAAGACTGGAACGGAGCTTCTGCGTCTGCTTAATGGCCTGCCCATTGCGCTGGCGCAGGCAGCTTCGTACCTCGCCAATACCGAGCTCGATGTGGCGACGTATGTAAGGCTCTACAAGGAGCAGTGGGACGGCCTCATAGGCCCTGACCGTATATCGGAGTTACCGTTGGTAAACCACGAGCAGTCAAGCATCGCAACAACTTGGACAATATCTTTTAAAGCCATCGAGGCACGAAGTGCGAGCGCGGCCAAGCTGCTCCGGCTCTGGGCCTTTCTCGACAACAAAGACCTCTGGTACGGTTTACTGCAACAAGCAGTATGCGGCGGGGGAGACTGGCCTGGATGGATTCGCGAGGTGGCGTCTAATGAGACCGTGTTCGTGGATGCGATACGACTGTTGCAGCAGTACGCGATGATTGAGAAGCAGGAGTTGTCAGGCTACTTCAGCATACACCCAGTAACGCACAGATGGACGTCTTCTATGCAGGACAGCGACGAGAAGGCGGAATATATTGGGCTGGCGCTGAGGGTGCTTGGCTCCTTAGTACCCATCAACACGACCTCGGTACCCATCAACACGATCGACACTGATTGGAGACTCCAGCGGAGGCTTCTTCCTCATGCGGAGCAGTGTTGGTGGTGGATGGGGCAGATTTCTGGTACCGAGTGGAGTATGGAGGAGTCATTGCTGGATGCGATGCAGATGGTAGGCAGACTCTACGTGGATCAGGGCAGGTTCAAAACGGCAGAGGCAATGTTTCAGCGGGCCCTACAAGGCCGAGAGAAGGAACTCGGGTGGGATCATTTGTCGACTCTGGATACAGTCGATGATTTAGGCTCCCTCTATATACAGCAGGGCCGGCTACAGGAGGCGGAAGGAATGCTCCAGCGGGCACTCCAAGATCGAGAGAAGGAACTAGGGCGGGATCATCCATCGACTCTGGATACAGTTGAGAATTTAGGCTCCCTCTATATACAGCAGGGTCGGCTAAATGAGGCGGAAGGAATGCTCCAGCGGGCCCTACAAGGCCGAGAGAAGGAACTCGGGTGGGATCATCCATCGACTCTGGATACAGTTGAGAATTTAGGCTCCCTCTATATACAGCAGGGCCGGCTAAAGGAGGCCGAAGAGATGTCCCAGTGGGCACGGCGAGGCCGAGAGAACGCACTCAGAGAAAAGCATATGTCGATTCCGGAGACGGGAGATGTCAGGGCGCACAGGGCACCAGGGTTAGGGTTGACTATAGGCGGGGAGAGATAGGGCTAGAAGCTAAGGATGCAGCGGCAAACGCCCTATCTTCAGGAAGAAGGGCTCGAAGGC